ACAAAAGACAAGGGCTGCAGTGGCGGATCCAAGGGGGGAGTAAAAGGAGAATTACCCCCCCCCCCCTCTGGAGCCAAGTGAAGATGTTATATGTTATATCCTTTTTAAAAAGATAATTCCTACTCACAGTAAGTTGTTTTGCAACGATACGGATTTCGAGCCTTTTAGCTCATCATCAGGTTGAAGGACTTCTACAACTCTCTCGACATGAATTGCCAAAGTGAACCCGCTGATACCTCCGCCAACGCGACATTCCAATTAGCAGCTGATTTTTTTAATGGCGCTCAATTTGAACGTGCGAAACGCGGAAATTATAACATAAATAAATATTATACTAGTAAATACTAATATTATTAAATTACTATAAAAATAATAACAATTAAAATAATTAGTTTAATTATTTGGATGTTTGATATTATTTATGTACATATTTAAAATGGGAGGTAGATCAAAATCTGTTATATTATTAATGCATTTATCACCATGTTCAATTTAATATTTTTTAATTTCAAATTTCTCAAACCAATCTAGTTCTTTCCCTTTGTTCAAACTATGTAACACTCTTGTATTTAGATTTGAATTGAAATTATGTTTTGTTTCTCTTAGATGGTCCTTAAATTCCAAAAATTTGCTCGATTTAGGCAAGTGTCTTTTACTCTCGTTTTTATTTCTCTACCGCTTTGTCCTATATATTTAATATCACAACCATTACAATTGAGTTGGTAAACCCCGCTTTTTGCCAAGTTGTCTACTTTGTCTTTCGGTTTCGAGAGGATATTTTTAAGTGAACCAGTACTTCTAAAAGCTATTCTAAAACCTTCTTTAAAAATTTTACTAACTTTTTCCGATAATTCACCAATGTATAGTAAACAACGGAAACCTAATGATTTATTTGTGGTGGGGTGGCTGAGTCCTATTGTTGATTCGTTTTAAGTTAATTTTTTATTCTTTTAACTAGCAACCTATCAATAAATATTTCTTGATACCCGTTGTTTTNAAGACAAACACTTTGAGCACTGAAGATGATCTCAATAAAGATCGAAACGTTGGCACGATAAAGAAAATGTTTTTCTGAAACCTACATCACACCAGGCTGCATCTCACGATTTCTAAATAAATATCGATTAACGGTCACTAATCATCACACATTTGAAAAAATGGCAAAAAGGAGGGAAAATTCGAAAGGTTGTAGGTTAACGCTATCAAAAAAAAATTAATATATTTTAATCCAAGTTTAAAATTTTTACCTTTTTTGCAGAAAAATTATGCAGGATACCTCAGGCTCAGTTCAACTTCAAAATTTCAAATACGACCCTATACCTCCTGACACATCATTTTAAAGGGTTTTTTTTACACTGAAAATATTGGTGCAATCGGATTTTAAATTGGTCAAAAAATGACAAAGTTATGGAAAAACGTTCATTTGGTTTGCTACTTATTGATCACATTTTGTTCGAACTGCTCGCCTTGCGTAAAGATGGAAAGATTTGCTTTTTTTTAACCACTCTTCACCGGGGCTCAGAGCGATAGAGTCGGAGGAGGTGGATTGACAAGATTTTCTACCCTTTGCCGCAGTTCTTCAACTGAGATTGCTGAGTGGCGTAGACACTGTTTTTTAAACGGCCCCGAAGAAAATAGTCAAATGGAGTTAAATCGGATGACCGAGGGAGGCCAACAAATCTGGCCATGAGGTTCCATCCCGGAAGTGACGATTCCAAATTACGTCTCACCTGCCAAGAATTGTGTGCTAACCATCCATCAAGCTGGTAGAATCATCATGAGCCCATAAAAATCAGTGCCACGTCCTATGTCAGCAGAACGAAAACAAAATTTGTTCTTACTTCACATAACATTTTTTGACTTATTTACACAATAAAATGAACTTCAATTGACAATAGGAAAAATCGGAGGATTTAAGGACACCCCGTGGAGCTGGAAGCAGTTTCTCGCCAGGAGTTTTATTCGCCATTATAATTGACCCTAGGATTTATGCAGTGCCTGAACGTTGGGCTTGAATGGAGGCATCTATCCCAAAGGAACACCGGCGGATTCAAGCCGAGTCTAACGGGATTTTAATTCAATCCAAGTCTAATCCGAAATTCATGTACCCAACCCCATGATTCAAGGGAGTCTCTTTTTACAGCCGCCAAGGGAACTATTCTGAGTAAAAATATTCCCACTTCCTACTCCACTTCGCTAATTCTGTTATTCTGGCAATCTCGACTCGACGATGTTCTTTTTATATTTAATTCCCTTTTGAAGATAAATAAAACAAATTGCCTTTGAATACGCCCACCTTGTCATTTTTATTCATTAGTTTATAAAATACGGCTAGTTGGGGATATCGTGAAATTTAACTTGTACATAACAAGCGTTTTTCTGACTTTAAAAGAACAGAACTTATTTATTATGATTTTTTAAAATTTTCTTACTCAACATCCCTTTTAATACCTTCATGAGGTTTGGAAAAAAATACTAATCCCGTCATAAAGCACAATAAATTTTCATTTTGTATCACAATTAATTATTTGCCCCCTTAGGCTTTATGATTGCTTCCATTCGTGTTGGTACACTCACAAAAAGTATTGCAAAGTCCTGGGTGTTGTCCCACTCCTCAAGGGTAGTTGGGGGAGTTGATCCCATGACCGAGCATTTCTTTTGAGAACGTGTTCCATCGGGTTTCATGCAAAATAAATGATTGAGAGCTTTAAGGAAGGCATAAAAGGCACTAAAGCTTTTTTCTTTCAAATTACCTTATTTTAACATCAAATTAACCCTTTTAATTTCAAAATAAGCTTCTTTTTTATTTTAAATTAACCCTTTTAACTAACCTTTTTAATTTCAAATTTACCCTTTCAACTTCTAATTAACCCTTTTAAATTTTAAATTAAACTTTTGACATCAAATTACCCTTTTTAAAAATTTCAAATCAACCCTTTTAACTTAAAATTAACTATTTTTACTTCAAAATTAACCTTTTTTAATTTCGAATTAATCCTTTTAACTTTAAATTAACCTTCTTTAATTTTAAAATAACCGTTCTTAATTTTAAATCAACACATTTCACATGAACTTAACTTTTCTAATTTCAGGTTAACCCCATTAACTTCAAAATAAACCTCCTTTTATTTCAAATTAACCCTTTTTATCTACATTAACCCTTTTAACTTCAAATCAACTCTTTTTGACTTCAAAGTAATTTTTTTTCAAATCAACTCTTAACTTCCAAATTTAAAATAACTCTTTTTGAATTCAAATTAACGTTTTTAATTTCAAATCAATCCTTTTAACGTCAAATTATCCCTTTTTGATTTCAATTTAACTTTTTTAAATTTAGAATTAACCCTTTTAACTTAAAATTAATCGATTGTATCTTCAAATTAACTTTTTTTAATTAAAAAAAAGTTTTTAATTTTAAATTAGCACTTATAACATCAAATTAACTTTTCTAATTTCATGTTAACCCTGTTAACTTCAAATTAAACCTTTTTTCCAAATTAACGATTTTTAATTACATTAACCCTTTTTAATTACAATTCAAATTAACAACTGTATATGACTAAATACACATTTAAAGTTTTTATCGATTGTCAATTTTAGATTTTTTTTAAACATAAAATATTTTGCCTCTTAAAAACCAAAAATTGATTTAATTTAAAATTAAAAGTTATGTACAAATTTGATGGACAAATTTACCGCACCAAAATAATGTTTTGTTTATTTCCTTTATTACCTTTTTGATGATTAATTATACTTGCACTATTAATATTCTTATTCTTCAATATTTTTTCAATGGCTACAGTCAGGCATATTGGTGAGTATGACAGTGTCAGGTCATAACATTATTAGTGAAGTCGCCAGGAGACTGAATGTAAATCATCCTGCATAAAATCCTGCAATAGGAAGGGTTCTTCGTTGCTTCAGAGATGCAGAGCTTCACACCAGAAGGCACGGGAGGGTCGGCCTAGGTCTACAGACGAGAGAGACGATGATCCATCCATCAGGCTCTACGAAACCGCAGTATCACGGGAAATTAGATAAGAAATCTTATAAGATCTTATAAGACAAGTCCAAAATGTTTCGATTTCCTCAAGGACTGTAAGAAGAAGGCTTAATGAAAATAATCTCAAGGCCCGGCACCCGGCTCGTGGACCCCTTCCTACCATAGCTCAGAAAATGGCCAGGCGTCAATTCGCATGGGAACATTTCAATTGGACATTGGAAGATTGGGGACGAGTTCTCTTTGCAGATGAGGTGAGAGTTGGTCTCAGATGGGCTTAATTTTGTATGGGGACGCTCTAACTTATTACAGGTACTTACAAGACATAACCGAAGAACATGTAGTGCCATTTGCCTCCCCCCCCCACGACATCGCAGAGAAATACTTGTTAATGCAGGATAATGCCAGGCCCCATAGAGCACATATTGTGATGATCGACTGAATGAGGTTCGAATTGAGGGCTCGGTGTGGCCAGCTCGAATCAAACATATTTGGCACCAACTTAAGCAACGAATACAAACCCAGGTCCTAAACAATCTAGAAGAGCTGAAAATAGCTGTTTTTGATGAATGGAAAAGAATTCCTCAGGATTTTACCAGAAATCTTTTCGAAGAAATGCAAAGACGTTTAACTAGTGCTTCGTGCAGAGGTGGAAATACTCGGTATTAAAGGGGACAACATTTTTTTCATTTTTATTTATTTTATTTTATTTATTTATTTTGTTCTTTACTTCATAATTTAAGGGTGGTTCGTTTATTTTGTACATGAGTGTATATATGAGATAAATCCCCGATTTTCCTTAGTACAATATATACAATACAACAATGAAAAGCCGTCGGCTTGTGTTTGTAATTTTTTATATATCTGTAAACGTATACAAATTATTAAAATATTATTATATTAAATAATATTGAATAATTATTCCGAACTATTGTGACGTCATGTTGTAGGCGATTGAGACGATATGTGCTACTGCGCCCCTGTAACCTCTCCTTTGTTCTACCATAAACCTGCCCCTCCGTGTTCTTGGGTTTCTCACGTGGTTTTTTGTTGATCGTCTTGTTTTCTTTATTTAAAGACGTTCGGAAATGACAACTGTCATCCCGAGGTATCAAACAACGTTATTTTCATTTTGTTTTAGATGAGTGCGTTTTTTGTAGCATATGTAGTACTTACTTTATTATACAAACTTACGTTTTTCTGTATTTACAATATAGTAGGGTGCTTATGTTAAACCCTAATTCATGTGGGACAAGATGTGGGATTATATCCGGTGACAGACCATGTTATTTACACATAATCTCATCAATAAGCTTAAATTAAAACAAAAAATGCAGTTATACAGTCTAAATCAGTTTTTATGTACTCAAATTCAGTAATTTAACTATTAATTAAACCTACATTAACTCAAATCAAAATGGTCGCCTACGGCAACAGGAGCATGTACAGATTAATTTACAAATAATAAGTTTAGTGAAAAAACGGTAAACTGTTTAACAAATAGTAGGAACTAAAGCAAAACGAGTGCATGTACATTATTTACAGTTTTTAAATACTAAATTAGTCACTGGTCACCAAGTCTTTTCCTTTTCAGACATCAGATGTTTTGGGGTGGTGATGGATGAACAGCAATTTCTCTTAGCAAAGGGTGGTGGGTGGTCATACTTTTTTTTTGTCTTAGTTGGTGGCAATGTTGGCTACCATCGGTTTTTTTGGGTCATCGTGAAGTGTTGTGCTCCTCACATACCATGGGGCTCTTGTTATGTGTTATATTACCTCAGAACCCAATTTTGAACTGTCTGAACCCGATTCAGTTGAGATTTGCTTGCTGAAGCCCATATCTCACAACTATACATCCATATTGATTTTATTTATACCGGGAGGTAATTTAGACTTTTTGTTGAGAAGAAAGCACATTGGCCTGATTCGGTGTGTACTATCTGGCCATACAACTAATATAACTTGATTTGTATATATTTATATATATTAATCAAAGTTTCACGATTTTTAACGTTTAATAATTAAGTCTTTGTCTGAAAAAAGTAAAAAGAAATGTAAATTGCTAAGGAAAATGAAAAAGTTTAAAAAAGATGGACAGGTAAAATTTGTTTTAATTTTGTTTTAGATTTTTAATTATCCTTTCAATATCATGTATTTCCATTTCTTGCCTTAATTACATCTCGAAGATGCCTCGACATACTTTCTACCAGTTTGAAAATGTCTCTTTGCTGGAGGTTAGCCCATTCTTCAAGAAGAGTCCTTTCAAGATCGTGGAGTGGATCAGGAAATGATTAATTATGCTCTTATTCGTCTTTTGATGTTATCCCATAAATGTTCGATGTGGTTCAAGTCTGGAGAATGGGCTGGCCATGCTAAGACCCTGACGTTATGCTGTTGAAGGTACATTTGTACTATGTGGTGGAGCATTATCGTGCATTAGAATTGGATTTTCGCTTATTTCATCGAGGATAGACAATGCCTGATGTTCCAAAATTTCATCCACATAGCGAGTGGACGTCAAAGACCCTCCACAAACAACTACCAGCTCTGTGCAACTCTCCATTGAAATTCCCGCTCACACCATCACTGAGCAATGTTGAAAAGGTTGGCTGGGAAAAATTACAAGCTTCGTACCTTTCATTTCACCTTCTCCACACTCTTTCACGTCCATCTGGAGATTGTAGAGAAATGTGCATTACATTTTCTTAAGAAGGCACCCTTCTAGAACTTTTAATTTAATTTTTGGTTTCAAAACAAACACCAAATTTTTCAAAAAGCACTAAATTTTAAAAGTGATAAAAAAACTCAATTTGCAACCTCATTGGAAAAATTTACAGTAGAGTTTGTCAAATTTCATAAAAACTTGTACATTTCAGAAGCTTTCTGGCAATATACCCTTGTCTTTAATTGCACTGAACCAAAATGCAGAAATTTTATGCTAAATTCAACAAAAATGAAACAAAACACAAAAAAGAGAAACAATAAACGTAGGGAACCACCAAGTTACGTCGAATTTTTCTTTTCAATCTATCGTGAGCTTTGCCAATTAGGTTGCAAATTTACTTTCTTTTTTTTATTATTTTAAATTTAGTAGTTTTTGAAACGTGGTGACAGTGTGAAAACATGGAGTGGGGTTAATGTAGTAATTCAACTTTTTTCCTGGGCAAAATTTATTTCAAAAATTTTAATGCAAAATAAATAAGCACAAAAAGAAAGAAAAATGAAACTAAACACATAAAAATGAGGCAATAAAAATAGCAAACAACTAAAGCAGAAAAATTGGACAAAATATCTGTAGACAAAAATAAAGAACAACAATACAGAAGTAGTAAAAACCAACTTTTACCTAATAAAAAAAAAATTCAACATAAAAATCAAACAAACCACAAAAGAGAAACAATAAACATAGGGAACCACCAAATTAGGTTGAATTTTTCTTTTCAAGATACCGTGAGCTTTTTCCATTAATTTGCAAATTTACTTACTTTTTTTATAATTTTAAATTAGTCGTTTTTGAAAAATTTAGTGTTTGTTTTGTTACCAAAAATTAAAATTAAATTTATTTTACAACCTTTAATTTAATTTTTTTTTAAAGCACAAAAATGCATTAAAAAGAGGCAGCACTTAAACATAGCGACAACCAAAGCTAGAAGTTCTAAAAGGTGCCTTCTTAAACAAAATTGGATTTCCACAAAAATTAATAATTCAAAAGGTACTAGTAGATTTATGACGAAAACCGTAGATAGTTAAACAACATAAAATGTTGAATATCTGCAAAAGAGTTGAAATCAGACCATGGTTCATATGAACTCTTTCTGTCACTCTGGAGGTGTGAAATTCACAAGTTTGTGGCGCGAGTAGCTTGACACATTTAACAGGCAAATGTTCCAAGTTAGGATAAATTGTTAAATCTGAGGTTTCGGATTCCGAACCGGCTGAAATTTAAGATATTAATTCTCTCCTATATTTTTTTTTTATTATTATTATTTTTTTTTTATGATTCGTCTAATTTTTTAAATAGGGGAATCTGGGTTGGTGGTTTGTTTATTAAAACTATCACTATTTCATGCTTAAATACAGCTTTTTACTTTCAAATTAACTCTCTAATTAGATTTTTATTTTTATTTCATTTTAGACCTTTTTAATTTCAAATGAGCCCTTTTTAATTTCAAATTAACTTTTTCTTTAAAGCATAAAAAAACCTAGGGATTAAGAAGAAAGAAAAGCATATTTTCCTCTTTTTTTTTTAAATTCAATTTTGAATATCTGCGAAAGGATTGAGAATCGGACCATGGTTTGTACAGTGTTTTTAATTCCATTTGGAGCATAGAATCTGCTGGTGAAGTTACTGCATTGTGTAGAGAGGCACCCTGTATAATTAAATAGTTCTGAATTTATTTTTACTTCTAAATTCAATATAATTTCAGGTTTCAACTTACTGAAGAAGCTAACACAAATGAAAATGCGAGAAAATTTTTCAAAAAAATTGAACAAAGGAGAAAAAAGAAGTTGAACAAAGAGTCAAAAAAATCAGAAAACAATGACAACAATATTGATGTGTGTAAAAACGAAGTCGATGCAAGCATTCCTGTCAATAGTGCCATTGAAAGTAGTGATCTGTCTCTGCAAAGTAACCAAGATAAAAATGTTTTTGTTTTGGGAGGACATAAGTTTGAAAAAACTCAAAAAGTTTGTTTGTTCAAATTATTATTTTAAAATGTTAAATGCACTTTAAAAAAAAATATATATACATGTATGTATTTTAATAGGTAAATCGAGTTCTTCCTAACTGGTTGCAAAACCCAACTGTAATATCAACTGACTTAAAGGACTTGAAGCTAAAACCTAAACATCTTAAATTAAGCAAGAACATTAAGGAAAATTTGAAAAGGAATATAAAGTATTTGTTACCAGGTATATACTTGATAGATAATTTTTATTTAAGGGACCACGATAGTGGGGAAAAAACTCATTAAGGCCATTAAAAAACAAATTTATTTATTTTCATAAAATAATTTGCTTTTAGTACAAGCTGAAGTTATACCTTGGCTTATGAAAGATTGGCAATCTAAACTTGGAGTTAGAGCTAAACCATCGCGGGACATATGTGTTTCTGCACCAACTGGCAGTGGAAAAACATTAGCTTATGTAATCCCTATTGTACATGTAAGTTTTAATTTTTTTATTTGTCGTTAATGTGTTATTTCATCATTATTTAATATTGATGTGTATTCCAGTCATTAGAAAAACGACTCAGGTTAGAAATAAGAGCATTGGTTATTGTACCAGTTCAAGAGTTAGCACTACAAGTGGCAAAAGTCTTTAAAGAGTACGTTAAGGGTACGAATCTTAAAGTATTAGTCACTACAGGCGGTAAAACATCTTTGGTCGAAGACCAAAAAAATCTCGTCAGGCGTTTACCAGGTCAGAGGAAGGGATTATGTCAGTTTAATTATTAATTAATGTCGTGTAAATTTTTCAGGACACAAAGAGGCATATGAAAGAATGGTTGATATTTTGGTTACAACTCCAGGAAGATTAGTTGAACACTTACATAAAACAGAAGGGTTTGTACATTTTAGTTTTCAATTTGACAGAATCAAGTTTACCTTACGAAAATAATAAGAGCGACATCTTGTTTAACTAAAAAATTAACCCTCTTTAATCTTCAAATTAATTCTTTCTTTAAAGCATTAAAAAATGACGAGATGGGATGAAATATGAGCAAGTAACTTAATGTACATTTACAATTATTATTATTTTTTATTTATTTATTTTAATACAAAATAATGCAATTTAATGGTAAGTTGATTAAATCAATTTTTTTGTTAACATTACTAATTGAACTTTTTATAGACTGTCGAAGAGNATCATATTATGAAATAGGAAAATGATACAAAAGAAATAGGACGTCGGTAGCCGCAACTGTCTCGTAGTTGAAATACCCTCCTTACAAGAATTCTTTATTTCTATATTTAATTTTGATTTTAATTGATTCTTTTTCATATGGTATTTTAGATAAAAACCTATTTTAATTTGTTTTTGTTTTTAAATCAAATTAAAAGAAGAATCCTTAATTTTAATTTATTTTTTGTAACATTTAATTTTTATTGTAAACAAATTTTCATGAGGTCTTCGATAAAACCCCCAATATACATGCTCAAATGAAAAAAAGATTTTTTTATTTTTGACACATTCACAGCCATAAACAAATCTTACAGGGTGTCCTTTTTAGATGGCTTAATTTCGCTTGAACTAATAATGCAATCAAAAAACAAGAAATATGTGTTTAATATTTTTTAGTCTTGTTTCAAATTTTAACTCTTTTTGGACAAAAATTATACATGGTACTCAGGCCCAGTTCAACTTCAAAATTTCAAATGCAACCCTATACATTCTGACGCATCATTTTAAAGGATTTGTCACACTGAAAACAATGGTGCAATCAGATTTTCAATTGGTCAAAAAATGATAAAGTTATGGAAAAAAGTTCATTTGGTTTGCGACTTATTGATCACATTTCGTTCGAACCGCTCGCCTTGCGTAAAAATGGAAATATTTGCTTTTTTTTTAACCACTCTTCACCGGGGCTCAGAGCGATGGAGTCGGGGGAGGTGGATTGACAAGCATTTTCCATCCATTGCCGCAGTTCTTCAACTGAAGTTGCTGAGTGGCGTAGACACTGTTGTTTTTTTTAAATGGCCCCACAGAAAATAGTCAAATGGAGTTAAATCGGATGACCGAGGAGGCCAACAGATCTGGCTATGAGGTTCCATCCCGGAAGTGACGATTCCAAATTATGTCTCACCTGCCAAGAATTGTGTGCTAACCATCCATCAAGCTGTAGAATCATCATGAGCCCATAAAAATCAGTGTGTCCTTGATGTCGTCCTATGTCAGCAGAACGAAAACAATCACGTTAGGATCATTGATCTTTTAAAACTGCCTTTCCATGTTTGTAGTTGTTAGTGTATGCTCACAACTAGCTTACAGGTGTGGTTATTGAGCCTCTCCCATAAATGTTTGCATATATTTTTTAATCCTAAATGTAGAAAGTGTGTTTGTTAAGGTTTTTGCATAAAATTATTTTAATAATTTGTTTAAAATGTAATTACCTAATCTCACTTGATGGAAATTTTTACAGGTTTGTTCTGAAATATTTAAAATATTTAGTAATTGATGAGGCTGACAGAGTAATTGATAGTATGCAGAATAACTGGCTGTATCATCTCGAAAGGCACTTGGAAGCGCAAGGTACTACAACTTTTCTTGTTTGTTATCTAGTTATTTGATTTTTACATTTATAGTTGTTATACTTTCATAGGTACTCTAATACCAAATGTTTTAAATTTGACTTCTTTAAATGAGAGAATTTTTACACCGCAAAAACTCCTTTTCTCTGCTACTTTATCACAGGACCCCGAAAAATTGAAACAGCTCAATCTTTTCCAGCCTAAATTGTTTACATCTGTAGTAAAGTCCTCAAATGAAAATGAGACGACAACAGGTAATTTAAAATTTGTTTTTCTTATATTTTAAAAATTATTGGAAACGTTTGTGTATTCACATATTGAATGCCGACAAATATTAATTAATATAACAGTAAATTGGGGCTTCATAAAACAGACTGTGAATTGAGCCTACCCCATCATAAATCACAGAATTCACTAATTTCGTGGTCCACTTGACCAATTAATATATTACAATTAATTAAGGTTTTTAGTTGAGATAAAAAAGTCAATGGCACGAGCGGGATTCGAACCCACGACCTTCGGCTTGATACGCCGCTGCTCTACCACTTGAGCTATCGTGACCTCGATCCACTCGGACACTAACTTCCCATCTCAACCCCACCTTTTGAATTTTCCCTCCTTTTTGCCATTTTTCAAATGTCGTGTAATCGGATTGGATTCTCGACGACAAATGAAATGGCCACGGAGAGCTTTAGTGAAGTATACTTCATTTTAAATCATTAAATTCACTAATTTCGTGGTCCGCTTGACCAATTAATATATTACAATTAATTAAGGTTTTTAGTTGAGATAAAAAAGTCAATGGCACGAGCGGGATTCGAACCCACGATCTTCGGCTTGATACGCCGCTGCTCTACCACTTGAGCTATCGTGACCTCGATCCACTCAGACACTAACTTCCCATCCTAACAATCCCGCTCGTGCCATTGACTTTTTTATCTCAACTAAAAACCTTAATTAATTATAATTTATTAACAAAGTTAAATTTTTCATGTTAAGCCGACCTGATGATCAAGTTTATGTTTATTATATTTTATGTCATGCCCCATTTTTTTAAAAATTTGGAAGTCTTTTCCGTTCTAATAAAAATGATACCAGACACTCAAAATTTCTCAAAATTCAAATAACACATTAAATTGAACTTATTTAGTTCTGAAGGAAAACTTCAATATTTCAAGAATGAATTGATGGTTTCCTTTTGAATTGTTATTATTGATTTTAGAATGGAAAAGGACTTATGAAATGTGTAAAAAAATGGGGCATTACATATTTAAAAAAAAAAAAAAAAAAAAAAACAGTTGATCACCAAGTTGGCTTAATGCTTACACTTATTCAGCAATCGTGAGATGCAGTCTGGTGTGATGTAGGTTTCGGAAAAACATTTTCTTTATCCTGCCAACATTTCGATTTTTATTGAGATCATCTTCAGGGCCTGGGATTTACAAACATTGTTTACATTTAACAAATACATGTAGGATGTGGAAAAAAGTGAATTTATACAACGCAAAATATATTTTTTTGTATTCAATCAAAGTATTTCTACTCACTCAAAATGTTTGTCTTCTTTGTAATTGTGCCATTCTTGCATGTCGTGTTGAGAGATTTTGCTGTTTTATGTTTATATATGTGGGATTTTGAAGGGGTGGGGAAGGAAGTCGGTATAGAAAAGACATTTTTGTGGAAGGCGCCGGCTTCTTTGAGGTGAAAATGTAAATCCCAGGCCCTGAAGATGATCTCAATAAAGATCGAAGCGTTGGCACAATTAAGAGAATGTTTTTCTGAAACCTACATCACACCAGACCGCATCTCACGATTTCTGAATAATTATCGATCCACCACACACAGCTTACACGTATGAAAATCCGATTGTGGCATTACAGAAATGCTTTTCAGCAAAAATTAAGTACATTAAATAGGGATTTTAAAAACAAAATTAATTAACTGAAATAAAAAGCATAATCAAAATAATTTTAGGAAACACTGGTGACTTTATTGGAAAGTTCACAACACCTGCTGAACTGGAAGAATTTTACATAACTGTCAACGAAGCCTTAAAACCATTAGTCGTTTGCCAATTACTCAACATGGGATGGAAGAAAATACTCTGTTTCACAAAATCTGGAGAAAACGCTCACAGGTTATCCAATCTTCTGACATTGCTCAATCCAAAGTTAGTAATCAAGGAAATATCTTCGGCATTGCCGAGGCATGTCAGGGAAGAAACAATCACGAATTTTGCAGGTGGAAAAATTGATATGTAAGTATTTCCACTATTCCATGATATATTGTTAATCCATTTCTATTAAACTAATTTTTTTTAATTGTTTTATCAGGTTGATTTGTTCGGATTTAATGGCTCGTGGTGTCGATATTCCTGGCGTGAAATATGTTATATCATATGAGCCTCCAAAATTTATTAAAGGCTATATTCACCGTGCGGGTAGAACAGGACGAGCAGGAGTCAAAGGAACAGCAGTAACTTTAGTGACAGCCACACAAGTATATACAATATATAGTTTTTTTAATATCCAGTTGTCTAAATCGCTTTTTTGTATTTATCTTTAATTTAATTATTTGCCAGGCTACAAGTTTTATTCAGAAATTGAAAGATGTTAAAAAAACAAATGTTAGTGAAATGAAAATTGATGAGGAAATATATGCAACAAGAGCTAATGATTACAAATCAGCATTGAAACAACTTCAAATGAATACAGAGGTGTGTATTTTGGTGTACAACATTATACAGTTTAGAAATGTGTGGTGATTAGTCAATGATTATTGGGAAATCGTGAGATGCTGTCTGGTGTTATGTATTGGGTTGTCCGGAAAATAATGCAGGATTTTAAGTTTTCATTAAAAAAAATCTATATAAAATATTCTGTTTACGTTTACAGGATTACTCATTTGTATGAATGTCAACACTTATTAATCCTCTTCCAAATGATATTGTTTGTTTACCTCTGTAGCATTCCGCTACTTGGAAATAATTCAGTCATCCTTATAATGTCAAAGCGAGAATTTCGTACGATTTTCTTTTACGAGTTTAAACTCGGCCGAAGCGGAGCCCAAACGGCTAGAAACATTAACCAAGTCTGGGGCGAGGGTTGTGTTAATGAGTGCACTGTGCAAAGGTGGTTTAAAAAATTTCGGGAGGGAGATTTCAGCCTTGAAGATGAAGAAGGTCGTGGAAGGCCTTCCTCTCTTAATGATGATGTTCTGCGATCAGTGGTGGAAGAAAACCCCAAAACAACTGTTCGAGAACTTGCAGAGCAACTCAAAGTCAGTAAAACGACCGTCGCTGACCACCTCAAGGCGATTGGAAAAGTGAAAAAACTCGAAAATTGGGTTCCACACTCATTAAACGATCGCCAAAAAATCAGCGCTTTGATGTTTGTGCATCACTTCTTTGTCGAAACAAAAATGACCCATTTCTGGCCAGAATTGTTACATGTGACGAAAAGTGGATTCTCTACGATAACACTAGACGTTCTGGACAGTGGCTCGACAAAGGAGAAGCTCCAAAGCCCCCAACTCATCAAAAAAAGGTAATGGTTAGGGTATGGTGGGCTTCATTTGGTTTAATACACTACAGCTTCGTAAATCCTGGCGAAACCATCAATGCTGAATCATACTGTAACCAAATTAATACCATGCATCAGAAATTGGCAGTAATGAAGCCCTCTTTGGTCAATCGGAAAGGGCCCATTTTGTTGCATGACAACGCTCGACCACATGTGTCACGTGTAACGTCACAAAAATTATTGGAGCTTGGCTATGAAACTTTGCCTCACCCACCCTACTCTCCGGACCTCTCGCCTACTGACTACCATTTTTTTAGACACCTGGACCACTACTTACAACACATAATATTCAAAAATCAAACGGAACTGGAAAATGCATTTATTGACTTTATCAATTCTAAAAATTCTGAATTCTACTCAGACGGAATTAATAAGTTACCAACACGTTGGGAGAAATGTATTGAGAGTATGGGAAATTATTTTGATTAAAGAACATTGCTTTAAAGTAACTAGTTTCTTTTTTTTTGTTTAATACCAAAATCCTGCATTATTTTCCGGACAACCCAATAGGTTTCAGAAAAACAACAAGGAAAACAATAGACCGCATCTCACGATTTCCGAATAATCGTTATCCAGCTTAACAAATCTAGAATTTAATATTATTATTTTTTTTACAGGAAGAAAGAAAGTCGAAAATTAAGAATCTGAAAACGATGAAAACAAAGAAGATGTCAAAATCGAGAAAACGAAAACAGAAAAAACAATTTTGATTCTGTTTTAAAGATTTTCAATTTGTTAAACTTAATAATTGTAAATCTAAAGAAATATTTATTGAGTTATGTTGACAGTGATCACATATGTTTTCTATGTGTTATAAGTGTAAATACTTTTGTAACATAAAGTTGATAGTTTTTCATGAACTTGGTATTCTTATTCCTTAATAGACAGGGGGTAAGTTTTGTGAAAAATCCTAAGATACGTCATATTTTTTTTTTTTTTTAAGCTTCTCGCGAATCAAAAAGTTTTGACTCACCTGGGTCATTTACATTAAAAATCGTTTAAAAAAATCAATTTTTTGGGTTTTTTCCATTTATCTCGTAAACTATAAGGTGTACGAGTAATAATTACACCAATTGGCTCAACAGGGTCATTTATTTTGGAAATTGTCAAAAAAATTTAATTTTTTTTTTATGTTGTAAACTATAAGCTTTACTTAATTAAGATTTTTAAGTTGAGATAAAAAAGTCAGTGTCACGAGCGGGATTCGAACCCACGACCTTCAGCTTGATACGCCGCTAATTTACCACTTGAGTGAGCTATTGTGACTTCGATGCCCTCGGGCACTAACTTCCCTTCTCAACCTTCCCATCATTGGTTGCTGAGAATCCAATCCGATTATACGACATTTGAAAAATGGCAAAAAGGAGGGAAAATTCAAAAGGTGGGGTTCTCAGCAACCAATGATGGGAAGTTAGTGCCCGAGGGAATCGAAGTCACAATAGCTCAAGTGGTAGATTAGCGGCGTATCAAGCTGAAGGTCGTGGGTTCGAATCCTGCTCGTGACACTGACTTTTTCTCTCAACTTAAAAACCTTAATTAATTGAATGTTATTAATTGGTCAAGCAGACCACGAAAAATAGTGAATATAAGCTTTACGATTGTAATTCTTGTTACATTCAACAGTGTTGTTTACATTAAAAATCTCCGGAAAAAAATTCCAATTTTTTTGGTAGATAGTGTTTATCTCAAACTATAAGGTTTGTGATTGTAATTCTTGCACCAATAATCAAAAAGAATAACCATGGAAGAAAGTACAATTACAAAAAAAAAGAATAACCACGCTCTGCTACCTATTTTATAGCGTGTCTCTTTTCTTTTGGGACCAACCCTGAATCCGGAGAACCGAAAACAAGGCCCCTGATGTTTTCATTTGAGGACCTGACTACATTCATTTAATTTATCGATCAGACACCTTTTTTTGATATATGAATTTCTAATATTCAATTCAAACCAAAATAACTACAAGACCAAAATATTAATTAAATTTAAATCTTTTATTACAATTTATTTCCAAATAAAATTACAATTTCTTTTATTAATTATTATTTTTAATTTAAAGAATCTTTTTATTTTATAATATCGGGTTGTCCGGAAAATAATGCAGGATTTTAAGTTTTCATTAAAAAAAATCTATATAAAATATTCTGTTTACGTTTACAGGATTACTNATTATTATTATTAATTTTTAAGGGCGTTTTAATGGCTAAGGTCATTTCACGCCCAAACATCCCAAACCTTCTATCTTAGTTTAGCTATATCCCTTCTGAGTGTTATAATGCTCTGACTCCAAACATTCACTCGTAAACTAATTTATCCAATTGCCATCCAAGCTTAATTTATCCTCTTAAAATTCTTAATTTGGAAGGCCAAATGTATGCAAAAATCACATTTTAAATTACATATAAAATTTTTTTGTTTTGTTTTTTAATTAGAATTTTTAATTTTTGTTCCATAATTTAAACATTAATTGTACAATACGATTAAAATTTTTACACAACTTTTAAAATCAAATGTTATTTCTTTTATTTGTCTTTATAAAAATATATTTTTTGTTACAACCCTTTTTAAATTAAAGTACAATTATTATTTTTTGTTTGACGTTAAAATATAAAATTTACTCACAGTGGGGTCGTTTACATTGAAAATTGTGAAAAAAATTCAATTTTTTTTAACGTTTATCTCGAAAACTAGAAGGTTTACAATTGTAATACTTGTACCAATAGACTCAGCAGGGTTTTCACATTAAAATCGTTTTTAAAAAAATTCAATTTTTTTACATTTATCTCGTTAAACTGTAAGGTTTAGAAGTGTAATTCTTGCATCAATTGGTTCAACAGGGTCATTTACTTTGGAAATTGTTGGCAAAAATTTTAATGTCGTAAATATAAGGTTTATGATTGTAATCCTTGTGCCAATTGACTCAATAATGTCATTTACGGGAGTGTGGTGATTAGTGACCGTTAGTCGATATATTCGAAGATCGTGAGATGCGGTCTGGTGTGATGTAGGTTTCAGAAAAACATTTTCTTTATCGTACCAACGTTCCGATCTTTATTGAGATCATCTTCAGGGCTGGGATTTATAAACATTGTTTACATTTAACAATTACATTTAGGATGTGGAAAAAAGTGAATTTATACAATGCAAAATATATTTTTTTATATTCAATCAAAGTATTTCTACTCACTCAAAGTGTTTGTCTTCTGTGTAGATGTGTCATTCTTGTGTGTCGTGTTGAGAATGCCAGTGAGATATTGCTGTTTTATGTTTATATACGTTGGATTTTGAAGGGGTGGGGAAGGAAGTTGGTATAGGAAGACTTTTTATGTTAATACCGATAACATACATATATCATCACATCACACAAAACATATAACATATAAAACATTCATCACATTCCAAACATTTCTACAGTCTAATTTTTCAACAATTTAGCTTTCCTTTTCCTAATTGTCCCCTTCTATATAATCCTGAAAGGATTATCTGGCCGAACCATTTCCAACGTTTTTCCCACAATTCCCATCCTTTCACCTCAAAGAAGCCGACTCCTCATATAAAAATGTATTTCTATACCGACTTCCTTCCCCACCCCTACAAAATCCAACACATATAAACAAAAAACATCAACATCTCACTGGCACTCTCAACGTGACACACAAGAATGGCACAATTACACAGAAAACAAATACTTTGAGTGATTAGAAATATTTTGATTATATAAAATTATTTTTTTGCATTGTACAAATTCACTTTTTTCCACGTCCTACATGTATTTGTTAAATTTAAACAATGTTTATACATACAAGTAGGATGTGGGGAAAAATTATGAATTTATACAATGCTAGAAAAGTTTAGATTTTTTTTTAAATCCAGCATTATTCATTATAAATTCATAATTTTTTCCACATCCTACATGTATTTGTAAAATTCAAACCATGTTTATAAATCCCAGGCCCTGAAGATGATCTCAATAAAGATCAGAACGTTGGCACGATAAAGAAAATGTTTTTCTAAAACCTACGTCACACCAGACCGCATCTCACGATCTCCAAATAATCAATGTTATTTACATTAAAAATTCCTCAAAAAATTTTAATTTGTAGTTTGCATTTATTTCATAAGCTATAAGATTTATGATTGTAATTCTTGCACCAGTTGACTCAGCGGGGTTGTTTACATTGAACATCGTCTAAAAAGAAATTTCCGATTTTTTACATTTATCTCTTTTACGAGCTTAATTCTTGCTATGATTATATCACTGCCAATCTTCAGGGTAATTGAGTACACAATTTTCTCAAGGTGACAAATTTGACACAAAATTTTTACAATTTTAAATGTTTTATTGTACGCATAATATATACATTTACGTATACATCAATATATATATAAACTTAAAATATTTATTTACAGTTGATACAGTAAGAAAAAGAATACAATTACAAACATAAAGGAATGAGGTGGAAGAGAAGAAATTAAAACTTCTCCAGTGCTCTTCATTTATAAAATAAAAATTATTGATGGTTTCCTACGTTCACATACTCGTATTGCAACTTCTTTTAACAATCCAAAATCCCAAACTTGGACAAGGAATAATGTAACATATGAGTGACACTGTCACATTCTTAATGTTTAATGTATATTTATCACACGCATATTTATTAACCAGCTATCACAGTTATTTAAAGTAAAATTTTAAATTAAAATATCAAACTTCTTTTTTTTAACATAACACCAACATAAATATTAATATATTGCACCATTACCTATGCCTGGAGGTACACATTTTGGTAACGTCTTATTCTATTCCATTGCAACAAAAATTAATTAGTGCTAAACAAATAACGCCTCTTATTACACATAGCATTTAGCACAGTGCCTAAAATAACAGTGCCTAACTCGAAAGTAACGTTTTAATATAAGAAAATACGAAAGTATTTTGAGTTCTTACAAAGTACCGTTTAAAAGTATTATTATTACTCTCAGTTAATCTAAAACATACATAAAGTATTTTAAAGAAAACAAAAAAAAAATAGTAAATTTTAAACTTGTTAACAAAATGGAATTTCTGGTCCCTTCAAAATCGTAATACAGTGTATTATAGAAAATACTGTTTTTTAAATATATATTTAGGAATTTATAAAATTTTAAAGATCAGTGGATTTTAAACGCTTATTATTGTGCTGTGGATAAAATAAATTGAAGGCTTCCAAAAGGTTTGCCTGATTTGTCACAGGTGTTTATATTTTGGCATAATTCAGCCAAAATACAATACTGACAGGCCAACTATCAAAAGTTTTGGAAGTTATACTACAATGAAAAAGAAATTTTAAAAATATACAATAATAAAATGTAAATAAAGCAAGTGTTTTGATGCAGATATTATAGTGTGTGGTGTATACTCAATTTAGCAATTTATTTAATGTTTTTAGCCAAAATATCCTTTAAAATTAAATTAAAAACATGCAACAATGATTAATTGACATTATAATCCATAAAGTCAATTATTATAAATTTGTGCATAATAAAATTTACCAAATGATATATTAAACGCTTAATAAGTAATAAACAGGGGAAAATAAACCTAGAACATTCCATTTCCTTTCTTAGTTATCAGACCGACTCAATTATTGTCAATAATAAGGCAAAACATAGAATGCAACATAGTAAATTCCGAACAATTCCAAATTCTTTATTTAAAAAGTTGTAAAATCATTGTTTCATTTATTTATTTTCAGTACTGGTGTAATGTTAATTTGTATCTAAGAAAAGAATGCAGCACTTTTTTTTTTGTAGTTATTACGGACGTTATACACTCCCCGTAGAAAATATCGCAAGAACTATAAATCTAGATATTTTTCAGTTTTTGACCTTTTCCTTTCAGACAGTTTTTATTGTTTTTTAATAGCCCCAAGTAACCTCTGTTTTCTTTACTCCATTAATTATGTTTGTCATGAGTCGTTTAAGCCGAGTTGAATTGGTGAGAATCATTGCTCGTCAATTTCAAGAACTAAAGTACAGGAAGACTAGGAGTCACTCAAGGCATTCCATGACAGATGGCCGTTTTATTAAAAGCGATCTGAACGATTCAACACATTCTCGCACTAAAAACTCAATCACTGAAATACGGTATGAATCTCGGTGTCGATTGAGAAGACAGGCTTAGATCAAGGAGGCCTGTGAAAGACTTCATCACAGAACACCGTAGAGACTAATATTTTTCAAAGGAACGCTAAAGAATATAGAGCAGAAAAAATCCCATTCAAGGACACATCAAAGATGAGTGTGGCCTTTAACAAATCCAGCATTGAAAGAGCCTGGAGAACGTCATGTGGAAACATTGATATGAAGTTCACTAATTTCATGGTCCGCTTGACCAATTAATACATTACAATTAATTAAGGTCTTTAGTTGAGATGAAAAAAGCTAATGGCACGAGCGGGATTCGAACCCACGATCTTCGGCTAGATACGCCGCTGCTCTACCACCCGAGCTATCATGACCTCGATCCACTCGGACATCAACTTCCTATCTCAACCCCACCTTATGAGTTTTCCCTCCTTTTTGCCATTTTTCAAATGTCGTGTAATCGGATTGGATTCTCAACGACAAATGAGGGACAAGGAGAGAAAACTCATAAGGTGGGGTTGAGATAGGAAGTTGATGTCCGAGTGGATCGAGGTCACAATAGCTCAAGTGGTAAGCAGCAGCGTATCTAGCCGAAGATCGTGGGTTCGAATCCCGCTCGTACCATTAACTTTTTTTCATCTCAACTAAAAACCTTAATTAATTGTAATTGACATGAAGGTCTATCACATTCTGGATGGCAAGTACTGAACCCGACAACTATCCGTATCCTTGAAGAAGTCTGAAAAGAAAGGTTCCATCACGGTATCAACCCCGTACGACCCTTGAAATGCTATAGGCAGCTGTATTGAAGGAGTGTGAGGACCCCAGGATTTTTTATAAAAAACTTTTTATGATCCCAAAAAGGATGGAAGTCGATATTTTTTTTTTTTTTATAATGGGGAGTGTATAATCGGCATAAAAGTCGAGCTAAATATTACATACATTTTAATGATTAGCACTACAACTTTGTAATTGATCTAATTTTGCAATGATAAATCTAATTAAAATTTCTTATTTGCACTATTTTAATAAAAATATTCCTTTCCGGTTCATAAGAACAAATCAATTTTAAAGTCTCGTTTCAAAAATATCAGTCGATTCAAAGTAAATTTGCATATTACAAAATTTCCAGCATTTATTGATGTCAATATAGAAATTAATGCTGGATATGCCTTTAAAATACCAACTTGCCATATTCAAATACAAATAAATAAATAAATAAACCGATTTCAGTTTTATCACAATAAGCGTATTTAAAAACATGCAATTGAATGCTTGCACGTTGACTTATTTTTCATTTTGTGATTGATTTAAAATTAGATCTAAATGTAAAAAGTGATTGGACCGAGCGAGAATGTAGTGAGTTTTTTCCTTATAAGTAGGCTAATACCTGCAAATTGACTAGCTAAAAGCTCAAAAACAGCGTTTTAAATTTTAATTTTAAAAAATCAAATTAAAATAATTAAATAATGCCTGGAATGAAAACGAATTTTTTTTTATACTTACGTACCTTAACAACGATAAAAAAATAATAAATCATTCAGTACAAAATCATTATAGAGAGTATTAATAAAAATATTATTTATTTAATTAACCCTTAATGCCACAGGTCTTGGTCTAGGCCACAAAGTCTCTCAAACGTGGTTTACTTACCTACTCCCAATATTATTCGGTTTTCACTAATTTTACAATTTATTAACTGTCAGTTGTAAACAACATAATTATTGTATTTTTTAATTATTTAAAAACTTCCTAATTCAAGAAGATGAAAAAGGAAAATTTTGATCTGGGCCAGAGACCTGGTGGCATACTGTGAACCATGAATGCCACAGGTCTAGTAGACGCAATTTTAAGAAAATGACCAACAAATGAATTGGGAAGCTACAGTCAGAAGTCCGACTAATGTGAAAAACCAATAACTGGGCCAAAACTAGCTATAAAAACTGTGACTTACCTGTGACATTATGGGTTATTTTTTTATTTTTTTATTTTTTTTAAATACAAAATATACAATTGAATATAAATTAATTACAATAATGCCCACCTTCTTTCACCCATAAAAAGTGAATACTCAGATACAAAACAATGACAACATAATGAGATTTTTTTAAATTAGCCATTATTTTAAACAATTCTGGAAGAATAAATCAGAAAATTTAACTGACATGATATGTGCCCACCTTCTTTCACTCATTAAAAAGTGAATCTTCAGATTGAAAACAATGACAACGTAATGAGTTTTTTTCTATATTATTTTTTTTAGATATTATTTGAAACAATTATGAAAGAATAAATCAGAAAATTTAAACTGACATGTGATATGTGGGCTATTTAATTTTATAAACATTTGAGAAATAAAAGTGGGAAGGAACATATAACATATTCCCATCTCAGCTTGTCCTCTTCACTTTCATTATATATAAGAAAAAATTTCTTGTTCAAAAAATGTTTCATAATTTGCAAGCAAATTTGTAACTCACTGCGTTTGTTTTTTTATAATATTCACAGTGATGTGTAAACTGTATAGGATGTTAAAGTCACTGTTTTTTTTTCCAAAGGTCAAATTTTGCTTTAGGGAATGAACAAAAAAGATCTATAATAAATGCACCTCCAGCACCAATGTTTTTTCCCCTTTTAAAACAATTTAAGGATGTCTTTATATTAGCTGGTATTATATACAGGACTTCTTTTCCAATGTACAATGTGATAGAACAATAATTTAAAATATAAAATAAATTATAGAAAAAAAATTGATGTTTATCAAGTAATTCGAACGGAAATATCTTACATTTTAATTACACAATTCTCAACAGTGAAGTAATATTTACCCAATTATTGAAAAAAAAATATTAGGCTTCGTGGTCTTCGTTAATACCTATCAATGATTCACGCTGCTCTAATTCTGCATCTGATAACCTGTAAAAGTTAAAATATTAGATTAAAAAAATTTTTTTTGCAGCAATTTTAAGAAAATCAACAATTACCTTGATTCCTGAGGCAATACCCTTTTACACAACTGATACAAAGGATCATTATTGTCATGGTGTAGTAGGAAAGTAACAAATATAAATGAAGCGATAACCGGTATTGAACCAATGTAGAAAAATGTTGAATACGCAACTGTTGATAACACCATATCTGCCAACATCGATAGAGGTATGGTCAGACTCAGGGCCAGTGTTGCGATTAGTGACGACGTTAAAAGGCACCCCCTTGGAAAAACGAAAAATATCAATGTAAAAGGATTTAGTAGTAAATTTAAAATATTGGACTCACCAGAGCCACAAAGCTTCTGACAACACAGTCCCTATTAGACCGTTAATAATTAAGCAAGTCCACTGATGCTTGTTCGGCCATTCGAACGACTCCCATTTACAATAGTGTAAAAGAAAAAATGTCGGCCACAACAGGAGAAAATTAAAAAGACCTACAAAACCTAGAAATAAGATAATTAGTAAATTTCAATTAATTAAGTTTTTTAGTTGAGATAAAAAAAAGTCAATGGCACGGGCGGGATTCGAACCCACGATCCCTCCTTTTTGCCATTTTTCTTGACTTTTTTATCTCAACTAAAAACCTTAATTAATTGAAAGATATTTATTGGTCAAGCGGACCACAAAATTAGTGAAAATAATTAGTAAAGTTTTTTAATACAAAACTGGTGAAATTAAGCCAAAAAATATTAGACACATGTCTACGTTCTTGCCAATTGGCCTTAGGATCTGAGAAATTTTTTTAAAAATGTTTTTCCGCTTTCGTTGATTTTTTTTTTATCAAAATTTAACAGTTGATTTTTTTTCCCTAAACATTTTTCAATAGCTCGTCAGGAATTTAGTATGACAGTGTCAGGGGTCATAACGTTATTAGAGGAAGGATACAGCCAGCGTTAAGTCACCAGGAGACTGAGTGTAAATCACTCTTCAACAGGAAAGGTTCTTCGACGCTTCCGAGAAACAGAGCTTCACATAGAAGCTCAGGAGAGGGTAGACCTAGTTCTACGGACAAGGGAGACAAAAGATTCATCTGTCATCAGGGTTTACGAAACCTCAGCATTACGGGAATGCTCATGAGATGAGAAATCTGATATGACAAATCCAAAATATTTCAATTTCCTCTAGGATTGTAAGAAAAAGGCTCAATGAAAATAACCTCAGGGCTCACGGACCTCTTCTTACCACGGCTCAGAAAATGGCCATGCTTTTCACATGGGAACATGTGAATCGGACATTGAAAATTGGGGGCGAGTTTTCTTTACAGATGAGGTGAGAGTCGGCCTCAATTCAAATGGGCGTAATTTATACGGAGATGCTCAGGAGGAAGGTACACTCCATGCTGTATGGCATTCCAAAGTGGGTCATTGATGTTCTGGGGTGGCATTTCCTTGGACACCCACAACGAAATGGTTGTTGACAGAAGTACTTACAAGACATAATCAAAGAAGTGGTAGTGCCATTTGCCCCCCCCCCCACATCGGTGAGTGATTTTTGCTAATGCAGAATAATTTCAGGCCCCAAAGAGCGCATATTGAGGATGACTATCTGAATGAGGTTAGAACTGAGTGCTTGGTGTGGCCAGCTCGAAGCCCAGATTTGAACCCAACCAAACACATTTGGGACCAATTTAAGCTACGAGTACGCCGGCGAACTCTAGAAGAGTTGGAAACACTGTTCTTGATGAATGGGAAAGAATTCCTCAGGACTGTATCAGAAATCTTTTCCAAGGAATCCAAAGGCATTTAACGGGTGTGATTTGCGCCAGAGGTGGAATTACTCGGTATTAAAGGGGTCAAAAAGCTTTCTTTTAGATTTTTATTTGTTTTTGTATTTTTTTCTTTACTCAATATTTTTATTTTTTTTATTTTTTTAACAACTATGCAATAAACATTTTCTTTTTAAATGTCTTATTTTTACAACCAAACCTATTTTCAGTAGCATCCATAAAAATGAATAAAAGTAATTAAAGAAAAATTAATAAAAGAAAAAAATCCTTACCAAAGAAAATCGGTATTTCCATTTTATCATCATTGTCTACTAGTCTTCGTAGAAAGACAAGATAAGAGGCGTAGAAAAAAGCGCTAACTAAAGACAGTATTATTCCTAGAGATAAGTTTATTTCAAACCTCGAATTTGACAAGCTCACCATTACCTTGAATAAAGGTGGAAATTTAATATAAAAAATACAGTATATTAAGTGATTTTGTAGAAAATATAATTACCAAACCAAAGATGCTGAAAATTACTGCAATAAACTTAGATAGGGTGAACTTATCAGCAACACTGGAAGGAAATATAGCTGCCAAAAGTAATGTGAAAATGCTCGATGATGAAGAGAGCAGGGCTACCGAACTTGCTTCAGTATATACGAGGGCTGCTTGGAATGTATAATTGGCCACAAACCACTGCGATAAATAGGAAATTTAATCCTACAGTTTAATGTAATGTAATAATAATAATGTAAAGATTTTGATAATGAAAATTTACCAAAAGGCAAAATGTGAAGGCTATTTTTGCCACTTGTTCTATCGACAATCTGTTGGCAGCCCTTTTGGCAAGGTGGCCGGCTTTAATGCTCGCGTGGTAAGAGAGCCTGGCCCAGAACGCATCGCTCGCATTCGTTTCTGACATATGGCGAACCTGTTGAAGTGAAAGCTAAGTAACTGTTCAATGTAAGTCACAATAAACACAACCCAAAGCATCTTTAAATAATAGATAATCAAGCTAAACCAAATACAATACAATTACACAACATGCTATGAATTAACTATTTTTTTAATCTACCAATTATTAAAGAAATATTTTTGAATATAATAACAATAGTTTCAAAATTAACCTTTTTTGATGTACTGTAATAATTAGCAAAAATGTTTTGTTAATTCAATTTTTGTTACAGTTTTCAATAAGCGATCGTATCTCAGTAGAACTTCATCGATTACGTTATCGCCACTACAAAAAGTTTTGTTAATTAAAAATATAGCTCTTTTAAATACTCACATGGAGTAAAAATATTTTAACAAATTCATGTGGGATAGTAGAGCCTAATAAAAAAAATTCTGTAAATGACAATTCTTATGTAAGTTTATACTTACAAATTGCAATTACAAATGAAAAAAAAATAGACACAGATATATATACGATATCAAAACGTAACACGTACCTCGGCGAGTTTGCAAAATTTAACTGCTTTGTGCAATGATGCGTCGTCGCTTTCCGAGCCGGAACATTTCTCCGGTTTTTCACCCCACTTTAATGGAACGTAAGTCGGAGGACTCTGAAAGAAATTCACAAAATTATGTTTCTCAGGGGGGGGGAACGACAGAAAAAATATAAATTACCAAACTTCCGTTATCTTCAGTTTGTACAGGTTCTTCTTCAACTTCTGTCTCTAGTTGCTGAAATGAACTTTTTTTTAACAAACTTTTTATTCTACTATTTATTATTCACTTAACGATAACTTACTGTATACTTGGGAGTTTTATTAATGTAATCTTTCCATGGGGGATAGAAACAAAGACCCAGCAGGTACAGAGTAAACATGGATGTTTTTACATATGTACTAAAAAATGGCTTTTCAAATGACTCCTTCTGATAAATGTACTGAAACAATAATACAAATTGCTGCTGTGATAAATAGAATAAAATAAATAGTACACTATTATTAGAATAAGATTTTAAAATATATACATTTGCTGGGAAAAAAATAGTGCATTTGTTTAATGTATAGTGCTAATGTCTTGTAAACTTATATTAAAGTGTCTGCTTGAGGAGTAATCTAGGAAAAAAATTACTAATGAACAAAAACTACTTGAAATTAATCTTGTCACAATGTGCTTCACCATTTAAAATAGAAAAAAAAAAACTAAGTTCTTCTAGTGGAAAAGGTAGGAAAAACTTTTTTTACATGGTACCCACCAATTGCTATATATTATTTTCTAAAGGACACGAAATTATTAATAAGATGCTGAAGTGTGCCTAAAAGCCAATACTACTGAGAATAGGTTGACCAAGCTACCAGGTCCATCATAATTTTTTACAAAATCACCTTTTTTCTTAAGCTACAACCCCCTCCACAAAAAATAGACTAGGATGATATGTCACAGGGTATTTATTTCTGTTATTTTTTATTGAAATGGGCTGTTAATTTATGTTATTGTTAATCAATTCAGTTGCTGGTACGTCTTCTGAAGTTGAAGCTCTATTTTTAATTCAGTTGCTGGTAGGTCTTCTGAAGTTGAAACGTTATTGTTAATTTAGTTGCTGGTATGTCCTCTCAATTTGAAGCATTATTGTTAATTCAGTTGCTGGTAGGTCTTCTGAATTTGAAGCATTATTGTTAATCCAGTTGCTGGTAGGTCTTCTGAATTTGAAGCACTATTGTTATTTCAGTTGCTGGTAGGTCTTCTGAAGTTCCAACGTTATTGTTAATTTAGTTGCTGGTACATCCTCTCAATTTGAAATATTTTGTTAATTCAGTTGCTGGTAGGTCTTCTGAAGTTGAAATGTTATTGTTAATTTAGTTGCTGGTACGTCTTCTGAAGTTGAAGTGCTACATTCAGTTGCTGGTAGGTCCTCTCAATTGGAAGCATTATTATTAATGTAGATGCTGTAGGTTTTTAATTGAACACTATACTTTAATGTGTTGTAGGGTACAATTTGTAGCACAATTTATTTTCAATCGATTTCAAGTACTTTTTTGGAAAATATAAAAATAACAATGTATAAGGAATAGTACTTTTTATTTTGCAAGAATAAACAAAAACTAGCAAAATGTACATACTCGACACAAATAGAGAGAGAAAAATTTACCTCATCGATCAGCCTAGTATTAATTAATCAAAAGGAAATTTTTATGGACATAATTTAATTATACATATTTAATCCAAATAGACTAAATTTCATCTAAATCAACTGAAATACAAAACAATTTTATTACCATTGTCAGATTTGTTGAGCCAAGATAACTTTTGATAAAGGAAGTGGAATGTTGTTAATCATTACATAATTTTTCCTTGCATTGTGCGAACTTTTTTTAAAGTTTCTGTAAATTTCTTATTGCAAGCGTAAAAAAAAATTGCGTAAAAAAAATATTTTCAAAAATTACTCAACTACCATGTGTCAAATAAGGAGACACTACAAAGTATTAAAAAAAATGCATTTTTTCAGTAAAAAGGCAAATAAACAACAGCCTAGATGAAAAAACAGATTTTAAGGTGTGTGTTAAAAGAGCTATGGCAAGCAAAAATTCCAAACTATGATAAAAATGCACGTCGCCTTTAATATTTCATATGTCACACGTATTTGTTGTTTCCTCAAGAAAAAATTTTACTTTTGCTGATGGCATTTACTGAAATAGTAATTGTTTGGTCAAAAAAAAACAAAAAGGGAAACTGTTAGTCATATTGAGATTTTTAAAGTATTTTAAAGGATTAAAATATGCAATGGGTGCTGTGCACAAGGCACTTTAGGCACCTTGGAGCAAACTTTCTTCGTCATTTATGAAGTCAAGGGCTTAAATTATACATTTCCTCTTTGGATTAAATACTTTTTTCTATTGAATTGTGTATATGTATTGCATTTGTTTTATACAAAGTCGTCTGGCATTAAGACTTACACAAACTTATGCACTTATTTTATTAGGGTCAAAATATGACATCAAGTTTTACGCCAAAATATACAGAATATATGCCATATTTTCATGATTAACCTAACTTCTCATTTTAATAGGACCATTTGACAAAGTAGTGTAAAAATTTGCATTTACAGCCATCATGTAAGTATAGAAGATTATAAAGGAACGGTTTCCCTCTCAACTGAAACCTTAATGAAATCTGTCAGGCTTTAAGACTTACTGATGCACTTCTTTTATTAGGGCCAAAATATGATGTCAAATTTTACCCCAAAATATACAGAATTTATGCCTTATTTTGATGATTAACCTAACTTTTCATTTTAAGAGGACTACAGGAAGTTCAAGCCAGGACTTGGAATAACCATTTGACAAATTACTGTCAATATTTGCATTTACGTTCATCATGTAAGTATAGAAGATTATAAAGGAACGGTTTCCTTTATACAATCTGTCAGTTTTTAAGACTTACTGATACAATTTTTTATTAGAGCCAAAATATGACGTCCAATTTTACCCCAAATATACACAATTTATGCCTTATTTTAATGAGTAACCTAACTTCTCGTGCTAAGAAGACGACTGGAAGTTCAAGCCAGAACTTTGTATAACCATTTGACGGAGCAGTTTAAAAATCTGAATTCACATCCAGCATGTAAGAATAGAAGATTATAAAGGAATGGTTTCCCTCTCAACTGAAACCTTAATGAAATCTGTCAGGCTTTAAGACTTACTGATGCACTTCTTTTATTAGGGCCAAAATATGATGTCAAATTTTACCCCAAAATATACAGAATTTATGCCTTATTTTGATGATTAACCTAACTTTTCATTTTAAGAGGACTACAGGAAGTTCAAGCCAGGACTTGGAATAACCATTTGACAAATTACTGTCAATATTTGCATTTACATCCATCATGTAAGTATAGAAGATTATAAAGGAATGGTTTCCTTCTCGACTGAAACCTGTCAGTTTTTAAGACTTACAGATGCAATTTTTTATTAGAGCCAAAATATGACGTCCAATTTTACCCCAAAATATACAGAATTTATGCCTTATTTTGATGATTAACTTAACTTCCCGTGCTAAGAGGACGACAGGAAGTTCAAGCCAGGACTTGGTATAACCATTACAGCCAAATTACTGTCAATATTTGCATTTACAGCCATTTTGGATGGAAGGAATTATATCAATGCCAAAAACAATCGAAGGCTGCATGGCACAGTTGGTGATTACTGACTAATGGTTAATTTATCAGGCAGGCTGAAAGGCCAGCTGTTTGATTTGAAAAGTCATATCAAATATCTCAGGACAAGATGAAACACGTAGACTAAAGACAGTTGAGACTAAGTGTTACGTATGAAAAGTTTATTTTAGTAAAATTTAATAAATAAATTATTGGTAATGGTTATTGTTTTGGTTATAAATTCAATTGTAATAAATGGGCTGATTTGAGTATAGATTAATGAGACAATCAATAAAGACGATGACAGTCCGTACCTTTGTCAGCTCTGAGGAACAAACCCATATAACGTCGACGAGGAGGAGGAGAAAAAGTCCGAGGATGAGTTTCCGAGGTTTGTTTACCATTTCACAAGGGGTTTTGTGTTTGATCTCCTTGAAATGGCATTTGCACTCGTTTGACATGGACGAACGGCGTCCCTCGTTTCGTCTTCGGGGGTCGGACCGGGTGAAAACGAGACCCGGCTACATCACAAGGAGGACGAGGAGAATCTCCAGGTCTGCAGAGTCTGACGGTCGTCCACGATTTCTGTTTGAATCTGAGCCCGACTGGAAAACCTGAACGATACGAGACTGGAAGGGATTGATAACCCGGCCGGCGTTGCCAACTCACGTTCGTCCACGTCCGTTTTATTTAAACAAAATATTTGTTTAAACAAATATTCGGTTATGTCCTTGACATGGATTATAGACATAGCAAACTGTTACTTGGATTAAGGCCGAATAGGTCTCAGGCCCATCTTCGTTTTTAGGCGACATGGAAGTTTCTTGGGATGGGGTACAATAGTTTGAAGAATCATTCTTGAATTCTTCTAAGGTTATTATATGGCTTTGTGGCACCCCATAGACATGGCCAAGGTTGTTTATTTAATGAATTTGCACTCAGTTTCATTTTCCACATTCTGCACCATTTAATGAACTCAAGAAGCTACTGGATATTTGCTAATAGGATGGGACCGAAAGTGCTCCCATGTGAGACGCCGGATTAGTCTTGTCTCTAAGAACTCTTTGGGAAGATATCCGCAGTTCCTTTATGCTAACGTAAAAACATACCAAGGCTCTTTATGTAACGAATTTACGTCAGTTTCATGCTCGACGTGCTGTACCATTTAATGAACTCAAGAAGCTACTGGATATTTGCAAATAGGATGGTACGGAGAGTGCTCCATGTGAGACGCTGGATACGTCTTGTTTCTAAGAACTCATTAGGAAGTAATCCGCAGTTCCTTTATGCTAACGTAAAAAAATTCAAAGGCTCTTTATGTAACGAATTTACGTCAGTTTCATGTTCGACGTGTTGTACCATTTAATGAAATCAGGAGCTATGGATATTTGCAAATAGGATGGTACGGATAGTGCTCCATGTGAGACGCCGGATCGGTCTTGTCTCTAAGAACGCATAGGGCCCCGCCACTTTCCCTCAAAAATACATATGTAAGCAAATTTCTTATTGTTGGAAAATATCTTGTCAAATAAATAAATAATATCTAATACATGTCTTGGATTTTTCCTCAGTTTTTATTTTTCATGTTTGGCACTATTCATATAGAGCTCAAGAAGCTCCTGGATATTGGTAAATAGGATTGGACCCATAATGTTCCCTTGTGAAACGCTTGATAAGTTTTGTCTCTAAGAAATCATTGTGAAGATGTTCACAGTTCCTTCATGTTAACGTAAAGACATGACCAAGGCTCTTTATTTAACGATTTATCCCCGTTCAGTTCATTTTTGTCGTTTTTCACCGCACAATGAGCTCATGGATATTTGCAAATAGGATGGGACCGAGAATGCTCCCTTGTGAGACGCCGGATCTTGAATTTATTCTCAGTTTCATTTTACACGTTTTGCATCATTCAAAGAGAGCTCAAGAAGCTACTGAATATTGGTAAATAGGATGAGACCCATAATGCTCCATTGCCAGAGAAATTTTAAAATCCTTTTAAGCGCAGTCCTTTAATAGATTTGAAATAGATGCTAAAAAGTGCTAGACTTTTTGAATGAAACGTGTAGGAAACGAGAGCCTTATCTGAATTCCTCCCTCCCATACATTTCCCGTCAAGTGAACAATTTATCACACAAGACAAAAGCTAGATTTGAATAAACAAATTTTAAAATAGATTAGAAAACCATTTCACTGACAACTATTTACACAATTTGGTCTTTCCTACAAGAAAAACATGATAATCTAGTAGCCCATACATTCGTGCTAATAAATACATTCGTTCCAATAAATAACAACACAAACATCACCTATGCGCAACCTGGTATTACTTTCTAGACCCAGGCGAAGTGTATTTTTTTGTTTTTTAACTAGGGACGTATAGCCTGGGTCGTGTGGCCTCGTTGTGCTAAGTTTGCTGTTTATCTGCTTCTTCGTTCCCAGTTCTCACAGGATCCCATACCAAGATATCTACTCACTAACATCAATCCGTTTCATGTGTTCATATCTGTCTGATCAATGGGTCGGCGGAAGCCCTTTTACTGATTTCTTGAACCAGAGTTACTCTCATTGCCAGAACTATCTCTGTCGCTCTTTTTGGACAAAGGTCTCGTAAGGCTCTCCATGGAGGATCTTTTTCTTCCTCCATTCCAGGGTTACTGCAATTGCAAAAAGTATATATTTTGCTCTTATGGATAAAGGACTCGTAGGGTCCTCAGTAGTTCGTGGCAGTAGCTGTAGTTCAGATCAAATGGAGTAATGGAGTTTTGTGTAGGAAAACACGTCAGTCAATTGCAAGTGGCAATATTTAAAATTGTGAGATTTCATGGATTTGCTGGTTGATGACCAGTAGTTTGGCCCTTTCCCATCATGTTCGTCCGCCTAATCGCACCGTTTTGTCCTGTTCCTGGTCTCTTCAATATTGGGTCGGTTTGGTACAATACCAAACTGCATTTAAATAATAGTTAATTGCCAATGGGTTAAAAAGTTATCTTTGTATTTGTATTGTTATTTTGACAGTATTTAACTGCTGTATCCTGTTACGGGTTGACCGAGATAGGATTTTTATCTTATCCCATTGTCCTTTTGTTAGGGTAATTTACCATTGCCATTTGGCATATTTAAACTTCGTTTTTGTCGAATGTACGCAGGTCTTCTGCTGGAGGTGGGCGTCGTCAAGGGGACGACTTTGTCAACAATCCGGCAAACGTTCCACGGATTTGAGTGCCGATTTCCTTGGAATATCATGAACGGTACACTGCCTTCGATGTCTGCAAATCCGAATGTACATCAAAAGCCTGCTTTAAAAGGTACACGGGAGATGGAAAACTTCGAAAGTCCCTTTTGTACACTGGAAAACAGATTTTTCGATTTTCTTCTCTTTTCACTCACTTTTCCTAATGGGTGAAGTACGTTGCACGTAATAAACAACTCACGACCAGTACGTTGCTCACATCTTTTTGCAAGCAAAACATAGCAGGATTATTTTATACCTACTACTTTGCACATTTCTTTATAAAGTTTTTCCATGAATATATTAGAAATATTCATTTTCATATATAGATAACGAAAGCCACCGAATTGTAGACATTATCGCCTCCTTTCAATAGCAGCTCGGCTATCTTTCTCAACATTCTCATCTCCAATCGATGGCATGCTGTAATGCTGTGTAAAACCAAAAGTATCATCTACCTACTACCACATCCTAATATCCTACCTTGCCAACCCTTTACTTCTGACAGTTTGAGAAAAAAAGGAAAGAGAGAGATAAAACGAAATAAAGAAAAAGAATAATAGAACATAATTGAGAGAGAACAAATGAAAGATAGAATGATGGAGTAGGAAAAAAGAAAGTTTGAAATAGATAGAGAGAGATACACCAAAAGAAAGAAAAAGAGAGGTAGAACAAAGAGAGAGAGAGAGAACAAATGAAAGAAAGAAAGATGGGAGAAGAGAAAAAGAAAGAAAGTATGAAAGAGATTGAGAAAAGAAAGAAAGAGAGAGATAGAACAAACGAGATAGGAAAAATAAAGAGAGAGAGAGAGAGAGAGAGAGAGAGAGAGAGAGAGAGAGAGAGAGAGAAAGATAGAGACCAAGAACCAAAAAAATAGATACATAGATAGACATATAGAGAGAGAGAGAAAAGAAATAGAACAAACAAAAGCGAGAGATGGATAGATAGATAGATAGATAGACATAGAGATAGAGATAGAGATAGAGATAGAGATAGAGATAGTGATAGAGAGAGAGAGATAGAGAGAGAGAGAGATAGAGAGAGAGAGATAGATAGATAGAGAGAGAGAGAGAGAGAGAGAGAGAGAGAGAGAGAGAGAGAGAGTGGGAGGGAGAGAGGGAACAAAAGATAGAGAGAGAGTGGGAGGGAGAGAGGGAACAAAAGATAGAGAGAGAGTGGGAGGGAGAGAGGGAACAAAAGATAGAGAGAGAGTGGGAGGGAGAGAGGGAACAAAAGATAGAGAGAGAGTGGGAGGGAGAGAGGGAACAAAAGATAGAGAGAGAGTGGGAGGGAGAGAGGGAACAAAAGATAGAGAGAGAGTGGGAGGGAGAGAGGGAACAAAAGATAGAGAGAGAGTGGGAGGGAGAGAGGGAACAAAAGATAGAGAGACCAAGAAACAAAAAATATATACATAGATAGAGAGAGAGAAAAAAAAGAGGGGGAGAGAGAGAGAGAGAACAAAAGAAAGAGAAGCAGATAGAGAGAGAAAGAGCGATAGAGAGACAGTGAGGGGGAGTTTGAGAGAGAGAGAGAGAGAGATTGAGGGAGATAGATTAAAAGAAAGAAAAAGAGAGGTAGAACAGAGAGAGAGAGAGAGAGAGAGAGAGAGAGAGAGAGAGAGAGAGAGAGAGAGAGAGAAGGAGATAGAGTGTGAGTGAGCGAACAAACTAAAGAAAGAAAGACAAGAGTAGAACAAATGAAAGAGATTGAGGAAAGGAAGAAAAAGAGAGACCAAAAGAAAGAGAGAGTCAGATAGAGAGAGAGAGAATTGAATTGAAAATCTTTATTTATAATACTTGCAGATTTAATGCAGATTTAAATCATATTGACCTTATTGACCTTTTTTACCATCAATGCGTTGGGTTTTACAAAAGTAAATAAAAACAAAATAAACAAACAAAATGATTGTGGAACATACATAAAGAGGGAGAGAGTGAGAGTGTGAGTGAGAGAGATTGGAAATTTTCTTATGGGAATTTGCAAATGATGATTATCTATCTACTACGTTCTAGAAACATATTAGTTCAATTCTAAATATAGATTATTTCAGTTTATCTGTAGAACGTCTTAAATATTTTCAATTAGTTTCAATCAAACAGTACATTTCAATTAGTTTATTACCCATATAAAAATATCCAGCTTTGAAAAAAATGAGAAATTATTAAGAACTAACGCATTATCTAATCAATTTTTTAAGGATTGTGTGTAGAATTTAAGTTTTATGTAATTATCACCAAAACTGAATTTTTTTATATATGTACAAATAAATGTGGAATATAATTTTAAAGCTATCTGAAGTATTTGACAATATCTCAAGCACCTAATGAGGAAATCCAATATTTGGCTTCAAATGTTATTTAACTTTTATTTATTTGTTTATTTATCTTTCACAGCTCCAGAATTCCAGCCCATCGAATCGAATAACTGGCTGATACACATGCGCTATGTAAGAAAAGAGTTTGACCTTTGCAAATTGATAATCCAAGAAGACCTGACAAAATCGAAAGGCTGCAACGAATATGCAAACTATGTCCTTGTAATATTATGCTTGATGTAATTTCTATAAATTAGCATTTGTTATTTTTATAAATTTTCCTTTCCAAGGGTATGATATTCCAACACGAAGGAAAAGTGAGAGAGGCGCTCGAATGTTTTCAGAAGTGTTGCTTTCTGAATCCGGGTCGCATCCCGAACATTTGCCAGTTGGGGAAATGTTGGTAAGTGCATTTATTTGATCTCTGTCCACCTTTTTCTTCATCACCAATTAACTAAATTATTTAATTATTTATTAGGTTTCTATTAGGACAAAAATATCAAGCAATTGAATCGTTCTCAAAAGCAGAAAAATTGGTTGCTACACCTAATTGGAATATATATCACAACTTAGGTAATTCTATTTATGTTGTATAATTACAAAATTAATGCTGTCTTATATTTTTATACTGTACTTTATCTATTTATCTTTCTTTTGCAAAGAAAGAGATATATATGTAGAGAGAGAGGTAGAACAAGAGAAAGAAGGAGAGAGAAAAAGAGAATGACTGAATGAATGAGCAATTTATTTATAGAAATATACAGCAGTGTATAAAAAGAGAGAGAGAGAGAGAGAGAGAGAGAGAGAGAGAGTGTGTGTGTGTGTGTTTTGCACTCCCACGTTCTTTCTCTCATCATGTGTACACATAGGACAAAGGATGGATGAACTTTTAGTTTGGACATCTTGAATCATCACAGTTTCCATTTTTTCTCTTGTTTTGCCTTACGCGCTTTGGCAGTTTATTCAGATCTTAGACACCACTCAAAATCCCCGACAGAAATGAGACAAACCGGGATGAACAAACTGCAAAATAATTCACTCCCACATTCTAATTTCTATTGATTATTGATTAAATAAAGCTTCTTTATTACATCTTTTGACTATTAAATTTTGAATTTCAGGGGTATGTTATGTGAGTTTAGGTAGAATAGGAAAAGCGAGAGAATATTTGACAAAGGCTGTCCACCTGGGCAGGACGCTTCAAAGTTATGATGCCCTCGCACGACTTTACATCGCAGAAAATGATATAAACAGTGCTTTGGAGGTGTATCACATTGCTCTCGAGTAATTTGCGTTGTTTTCAACCTGAAGAATTCATTATTTTATGCTTTTTTTTCTACATTTAAAGGTTGTTTCCATCAAGTTGGGAGCTGGCGACTGATCTGGGCCAGCTTTACCTGCAGGTCGGAGAAACCGCTAAAGCTTTCAACAGTTTCGGCCTTGCCCTTGCTATTAACAGAGAAAGCATGCAAGCTCTTCTAGCAGTTGCTTCTATCTGTCAGGTAAGTTAACTCTGTGTTTTGTTTTTGTTTTTTGAACAAATAATCTGGAATTTTATGTTGTCACCAGAATTTAAAAAAATTTGGTACCTTTGTAATTTCATATTAAATGTTATATTCATTAGATATTTTTCATATCCAGAGGGTAATTAAATAGTAAAGCACTTTCCATGCTGCCAAAGTACCATGTTGAGACCAAAGTTTCACATGTTATTGGTACCCTGAAGAAGGTCAATACTTCATCTTACACAGCTTATTTTGTCCCGTTTCACTGCCTATGTTTCCAATAGGCAACATTTATCCAACACGACCTGAAAGAGTTTTACATATTTCCTCTGTAGCCTCATTGTGGTTTCAGTGGTCAGCGATACTGCACCATCTGCATATCATAGCATTGTTCGTAATTGGATCAGGGAGGTTTATTGTATGTATGTGTGTGTGTGTGTGTGTGTGTGTGTGTGTGTGTGAGAGAGAGAGAGAGAGAGAGAGAACCAAAATTAATAGGTAGACCATGATTGCAAAAGATCAAAGTTCACACTCCTTTTGAAGCAACGGCTAAAAAGCAGAACAGTACATATCCTTGTTCCTCAAAAAGAAGCTGTTACAGCAATAGGGTGCCAACAGGGAGTACTTTAACCTCTGCTGTGGAATGTGGGTAACATCTGCACCCAGGTTATGTCGAAGTGTACTCACTCAACATGGTAGAGCAATGGTAGCAATGGCACTCAAAGCTCCTATGAAAACAACACAAATTGCATTTACTAAGAAAAGTAAACGAAATGGTAGGCTCGTGAAGCAAAGAAGCACTGCAGTTCAAAACGGAACATCCCTGAACATGGTCAAAAGAAGAACCCTAATAAACAAACCTTGAGGGCTAAAACCCAAAATTATTGGCTATGTGTGGCAGTACTAACCCTCGGACACAGGTAATCGAAGGAGTTTGTGAAGGAGATCAAACCAACAGAATCGAAATGGCTATTCTCTAACTCAAGGAAGGGAATTAGGAGGCTGATAGGTATTCTGACGGGCCATCGCCCTTTCGTAATGGGTATTTTACCAGACCCCTTTTGCTGTTTTTGGGAAATAAAAGAAGAAACAGCATGGCACTACCTTGCAGAGTGTGATAGGTACGCTACGTATAGATTCGAAACTTTTGAAGGAGTGGTAATTACCAAATCACTCCCCAAGATAAAATGGTCCAAAATCTTGGGGTTTGTGAACAAGTCCAAGAGGTTTATGCAGGACATGTGAACCGACCAAGTCCCGGACCCTTCAGGGCCATATATATATGGCAGTACTAAGATCTAAGATTATAGTTTACTAAACTGGTGGGCTAAAACTCAACAAAAAACAAGCTTCTCAAAAATTAGGCAGTGAAGATTGACAAATTTATCGCAGGGGCAATGACTATCTAATCAGCTGCCTTAGAAAAACATCTATACAAGAGAAACTAGAAACCAGTGAAGGAACTGGATCAGGTTAAGCGTAAACCGAAAATACAAGAAATCAAACTCATTAGGGAAGAACGCACAATGTATGCTAGTAGAAAATCATAAAAGAAGCACTAACAAAGACATCCTAAGGCTCTAAAAGCATTAGCATTTAAAAAGGTCACATCCAAAATAGTGAATGCAAAAGTACAAGTCAAGCTTCAGTGCTTGAATACTAAATATCATCATCATAGGAACATTAACCTGCAGGCAAGATAAAGTAAATTCTGTCTTAAAGGAGGGCTTAACGTCCAACTACCCGTTACGTGCTGCGGACGAGAGGTCAAACCATTTTACATTACTTTTTCAAATTATTATCAATTAAAAAGCCTTGGGCAGAACCACTAGCATGGCAAATATGAGTGTTCTAACCACTGTGCAGTTCAGTATTTATGTAAAAATAAAACCAAATCGTAAAATCTCAATCAATTCTTTTACAAAAATATGTATTTATCTGAAACAGTTTTTATTATTTTCTAGGAAGAAAAAGAATATGAAGTCGCTCTATCTAAATATAAGATTGCTGGACAATATCTTCCAGAATCAATTTGTTTATGGAACAATATGGGATTGTGTTTTTTTGGAAAAGGGAAATATGTCGCAGTGAGTGAATTTCCATATTTCAAAAGTTGTCGTGCTAAATGATTTTTTTTAAAGGCTATAGGTTGTTTGAAACGTGCCAATTATCTAGACCCGATGGATTGGAAGACCCTGTTCAACCTCGGTCTCGTGCACATACACACTAAACAATACACATCTGCTTTTCACTTCCTATCCAGCGCGATAAAATTGGAAAACCGTCACGCCCTGTCTTTCATGCTGTTAGGAAGTATGTTCAATAGGCAAGGCACAAGAAATCTGTAGTTAATAGCTGATGTTTCAGTCGTTCTCCAGCGAATGTCACACCACGAAAATGCGACAAAATGTTTTGAACAGGCTATTAAATTGGACGTCGATGATGTCAATATTAGGATTAATTATATATCGCATTTGTACGCTCAAGATAAAAAAGAAGCTGCATTGGAACATCTAAATGTAGTACAGAGGTTGATGCAGCAAATTGAAGTAGATGACAAGGTTAGTCGAGTAGATACAATATCAATTTATTTTTATTTCATTTTTCATTGTCAAATTTTGTTTTTAGACTAAGGAAGCAGTAAGACAACTAACTCAGGGTTTAACACAAGGTCTACTGGTAAATGATCAACTGGATTCTTAGTAACGGCAAGAACATGACTATTTTTTTACATTCGAAAATAAATATATGAAACAATTTCTCTTTAAGCTGTAACTTTTCAATTTCGATTTTATGAAAATTGTTCAAATCAATTTTTAAAATATCATTGATAATCTTCTGTCTTTTAAAAATAAAATGTGAAAAGTTCTTCTGTTTATTTTTCTACATCCCAATGTAATCAGTTTGCAGTTTTATCATCAGGGCTGATGTGTTTCAGTCAGAAAAGAATGAGAAGGGAATGAGAGTGAGAGTGAGAGAGAGAGAGATGAGAGAGAGAGAGAGAGAAGAGAGAGAGAGAAGAGAGAGNAGACGAGAGAGAGAGAGAGAGAAGAGAGAGAGAGAGAGACACGAGATAGAGAGACGAAGATGAGAGAGAGAGGAGAGAGAATAAATGAACAAAATAAAAATTTATTGAGAGAAAGAACAAAAAGAAAGAATGATAGATAATTGAGAGAGAAAGAAAGAGTGGTACAGAGAAATAAAAAACGAAGAAGGAGATAGATAATAAAGAACAAGAGAGAGAGTGAGAGAGAACAATAGAAAGAAAGAATGACAGTGGAAAAGGGAGAATGGCAGAGAAAAAGGACAAAAAAGAAGATAGAACAAAAGAGAACAATACAAAGAATGAGAGAAAGAACAAAAAAAGAATGACATAGATAGAGAACAAAAGAAAGAATGAGAGGGAGAAAGAAAACAAAAGAAAGAAGAGTCGAGAGAAAGATAGAGAAAGAAAAAATGAAATAGAGAGAAAGAGAATGAATGAAAATAGCTTTATTTAAAAAGTCTCGTTTTAAGTTGTGAAATGACCTTGTTAATAATAATTAACGAGAGGGAAATTCATTGAAGTTAACACAGAGTGGCCAGACTCAAGAGAGGCAAGTATGTAAAACGAACATAGTTTTAATCAAAAACAAGGTAGAAAAAGCACACACTTGGACAACACTAATGTATACGCTTTTAGCTCAAAAGTAGCCTGGAATTGCTTAAGTGTCCTAATGGGCCTAAGAGAACAAAACAAGGTTGAGGTGGATTCCAGGACAGGTATAGAAGGAAACGAACATGCTGAACAACTAGCCAAAGAATAAAGATGTAGCTAGAAAGCACCATAAATATTTACTATAGGCCTTTAACTACCACAAAAAGAAGTTGGTCAAAGCGGAGACCAAAACATAAAAAAAGTCAAAACTGCAATATAATTCTTTGCAACTTCAATTGTACACAACTGTTGTTGAACTCTGGGAACCTCACACCTTACATAAAATATGAGATTTGTACATCGACGTATGTTGAATAACTCCTGAAGTGTTAAATACAGGTAAGAGAAAGAGAATAAAACCATCATGAACAGACAGTTATTTGACAAGAGTGAGAGTGATGTATAGATATAATTAAATAAACTTTTGTAATAGTTAAATCATTTTTATGCACATCCAAAAATTAAAAAAATATATACACAAAAATTAAAAACAAAAAATAAACTAAAGAAACAAATTTCAAATTATATGAATTTAAACTTTGGTAATATTTCATTTTTCATTAGTTTGTTAAGAGATCTAATAATAAGCTTGACTACACAAAAAATGAATTAAAAATAAAAATAATGTATATTATTATTTAAGTAATGTACATTACTGAAACGACATTTTTAAAACTAATGACTGAAGGATTTTCATCATGAGAAATCATTATTTGTTGGAAGAATTTTATCGACTAAAAGTATGCACAGTATTACAGCCAAAATACACATTAAACTTAAATAAATTGGAGAATGAAGTAGCAGATGGTATCTGTTAATATACAGCTTGTATACCGAATGTATATATAAAATTAAAAAATATAAGTTTCTGTCTAAATAAAAAATATAGAAATTTGATATTTTGTTGACTTCAAATTTTAAAAATTAAAAGAAAACTTCAAATCTTGGAAAAATCTATACAGCTGCCCATTCTTTCATAATACACAGCACCAAGATGTGAAACCCAGTTTTACCGTATACATCGAGAATAACGCCTTTTAAAAAGAAATTTAATACAAAAAAATTAAATTGTATTTACAACACAATGACTATAAATAAAAAGTACACAGTCGATTTGCCACCATTACTAGAAATAATAATAGATACCTTCTTTATAAATGTGTTTATACATTTAGATAAAAACTATAATATACATCTTATCTAGTAATAAAAACAAAGGGTAATAATTTTATATTCATGCTTTTTTTATATTTTTAGTTTGTACTTATGTCTAATTCCACAAAGTAAAATAAAAAATACATTTGTCACATTATTAATGCGATGTAAATGATATAAAATTAAATTTCACTATCTCTATTATTTTTTTTTCTTCATTGCAACTCAAATTTACTCACTTTTGGTCTCACAGTTCTGTTACTTTCCAAAATTAGATTTTAGACAATACTAGCAATGAAGGCCGGATGAATAAAAAAAAAATTATGAAAGACGTTGAGCTTTATGTATTAAACAGTCAGCAAATTTAAATTCAAACCTGTGTAGAATGTAAAAAAGTTTTTAATCTTGTCGATACTTAGAAACGATGCAATATAAATTTTATGTGCAGTTATAAATACAAAATTTAAGCAATGGGAAATTCTAAAATAAAATAAAAACTCATACTGAGAAAAAACACAAACACCTACATAATCCAACAATTCTTCCTAACAATAAAACTACATTAAACGATATCACTTTCACTACAATAACACCTAATGGGCAGGAGAATACTTCAAACAATAATAATTGCATGCTTTATTTTATTTATTTATTTTTTAATCGGCTAGGGGTGATAATAACCAACCACAAAATAACGAAGTGTGACATTTGTTCAAATAAAAACTTTGATGAATATTTTTAAACTGGCTTAATTTCACTCTATTGCACATCTCCTGCCTTTTTACACTTATATTATAATGTAATACAATCATGTTTTGTCAAAATTAAATTTCGGAACATAAAATCGACTCACATATAGTAAAACCGAGCACAGGTGAAGTGTTGTGTTTTACAATACGCAATTTATAAATCTGATTTTATATAACTTGACTCAAAAGAAATAATAAACACAATAGTAAATATAGAAATAGATATTACACGATTTTCAGACTGTTTTTTTAACAGCAACTGGAGCTTTGTGATGATTCGTGTGCGCCTGGTGGTAAACTGTTGCTCGATGGGGAATGCTGTGGTCCTATTTTGATTCCATTTGCCTAAAATCAATTAAATTTTTTATTCAAAATTATCAAAAAATCTTATATTTAACTAAGTTTATTTTTACAGGCACCCAGAGGAAACTCAGTTATAAGAAACACGCAGTAATTCAGTGTGAGGGATTAAAAGATTAAGGGACAAAATTTCGAGGCCATCGTCAATTAATGTGATGTGGTGGGTTGTCGGGATGAGGATGTAAAGAGATGGCTCGAAGGGTTAGTGTGAAACTTTTGGAATCGGGAACAGACTGTTGAGGCCGTTGTGGATAGTGAGGTTAGTGATGTAACAAGGAGCTTTGATTTTTCTGAGGACTTTTGACTAGAGGATTAGACACGCCCTATGTTGGATGGCTCTTGGTTGGTGTCTTGATATTTGTCCAAATTGTTCAGTTCTCTTAACATGTTCCTTACAACTGTGATTAATAAATTCTCCCGAAGTACGGGGCAAATATGTTGATTTTTTTCTCAAAAAAATTCCAAGGTCAAATTGAAAAACAGTGTTCACAGTAACACTGCCAGAGCCATACTAAACTTAAAGGCCTGTGACACCGAATAAATTCCAAAAATACCCCCAACACCCTACAAGCTTCGAAATGGGGCTTTACTTCACATAGGTAGGTCTTTTCTTCATGTCCGCACAGGTAGGTCAGTAGTATAAATGATGTAAAGCAGGGGTCGGCAACCTCTGGCCCTTTGCAACTTTTTGCGCGGCCCGCCAAAGCCCAATATAATTTTAGGAAAAATCAACAAACTTAGAGCATGAGAGTGCCGAAATGTGGCCGGTGACAACAATGCGCGCTAACAGAAGCATAGTGGGAAACCTATTTTACTGCACAAGTTTAATCCCCACTCCCCATAATAATATTTATATTCGTATATGATAAAAAAGCACTATTTAAGTTACATTTGAATATGTGGCCAGCATAAAAAAATTTATTTTGAAACCGTATGAAAAAGCCGACCCCTGATGTAAAGGATGGGGCTAAGAATATTCCCTTGTCCGACTTCTAAAAACTCTTTGCCGCATCTCACTATGAAGATGCGGTCATTAAGGTAGGATTTCAGGATAACGTAATAAGAAGGGGGTAGGAAGGGTTTAAGTTAGAAAGCAGGCACTATCAAAAACCTGTGCTCCATCTAAGAACTTGCCTAGGAAATACTCTCTCTAGAGCTGATGATGAGGACAGAAGCCGGCAAGAAGGAATGGTTTTACGAGTATCTAGGATAGTTATTAATCGCTTTAAAGGAGTCTTTTGAGGATTTTGGACGTTAGGAGGCTAATGGGTCAGTAGGAGAATATGTGTTTGGGAGGTTTAAATTTTTTAATTTAAATATCTACCTCATTGTTGATGTCAAAAACCCCTTCCTGGATCTTTTCATAAATTTCTTTAGCTGTGTTAATAAATGCTTCCTCAACATTTGAAGCAGTTTTCGCAGATGTTTCCATGAATATTAGTCCATGCTCTCTAGCAAAAGCGTCTCCTTCTTCCTTCTGCACTTCACGTCTTGATTCCAAATCACTAAAATATACGATAATATTAAAACACTACTGCTTACAGGACAAAAAAAAAGTTACCTTTTATTTCCAATAAGCATTATGACCATATTGGAATTAGAGTGCTGCCTTGCATCATCGAGCCATGTAGTAAGATGGTTGAATGTTTCTCTTCTCGTTATGTCATATACCAGCAATGCACCTGCAGCTCCTCTATAATAAGACCTTGTAATAGACCTGAATGCTTCTTGGCCTGCAGTATCCCAAATTTGCAACTTTATGTGCTTCCCATCGATAGTTATCATGCGAGCTCCAAATTCAACGCCTATAATAAAAATATAAAAAAACATAATAGTGATAATAATGAAAAATGTTTCAATATGTTGATCTGCGTTGTGTCGAACCTGAAATTTGATCGTTACAGGTCATTACGATCTTTCCATCCTCCTCACTGGGTTGGTCTGTCAGATGAGAAATGTCAAAACGAAACCCAGTGAGGGCAGGCAAATGATAGGTAACGATCAAATAAAGAAGTAATACATAAAAATGAAATAGGTTGCTTTGGTTTCTAATAAATAACACAATAAACGGTAATTTTTTAAAAAGTAGTGGATATTAGAAACAAACCAATATACAGAAGTGATAGATTAATAATTATTTTAAATCAATAAATTATATTCTTCAATTTTGGGAACTGTGGTGGCCAAGTGGTTAGAGCGTCTGACTCCTGGTAGAGCTCACGATTTTTTAATTTATAATGTATGAAAAATGTATTGTAAAGTGGTCCAACCACCCCTTGTCCATGACAACCAATGGGCAGTTGGACGTAAAGCCCTCCTCTGTATAGCAGGAATTACTTTGCTTTTTTACTTATTCAACATTTTTTTTATTTGCGCTTGGATCAAGTATTTATAAAATGATAAACATTAATCTAAAAATAAGAAATATTTGAGTTTGTAGTTTTAAATTCTTGTTTAAGTAAGGCATTTTCCTTACTGTTATTAGACGAAACAATCTTTTTCAACAATTCTAACTTTTATTGATGTTCATTGGTTGCACAAAGACTTTTTAAGTTGATTTATGCTTTTCTGTCATTTTTTGTTTAGAGTCACTCACCAACTATCAAATTAAGGGCAAAATCATTATCACATTTCAAATGCATAACAAAAAATGATTTTTTCTTTTTGTTTCTGGGGGATTATAATCAATATGTGAAAATCAAAATAACTATGTAATGTCTATCTGTTGTGTCAGGACCAACTGGCCTGCCAGGTATCATGGACAAAAGACCATTTCACTTTACAATATTTGTTCAAATCTTTAGTAAGTTTATATTATGGAAGAAACTGCCAAACACAATGCTCAGATCAAAATCAAAAAGCAATAACAATGAAATCTTGTGACACGTTGTATTTTAATATAGTAGGAAAATTCCTAATTCAACCATGCATGATGATCTAATACTGCAAAATATTGACTTCAACAAAGGGGTGTTGTTAACTGCAAAATTGTCCTCTGTCAGATTAAACGACGGTATTTATACATAAACGAATACCATTAACATCAGCAAAACTCTGAATGTCATATTTTTAAGCCAGCACGTAAAATCTTATTCGTTATGATGTATTTTAAATATTTACAATTACTCTTTTGTTTGGGGGTTGGCACGTGAAATTTGTATTCTGTCAGATTAGACAATGAACATTAACCACAATAAATCTCTGAATGTTATATTTTTAACCACTAGCCCTGACATAATAAAACACACACTAACCCTGAATAGGGGAAATAAATAATTTACTCTCTGATTCCATCAAATTTTTTAATTATATTTAAAAACATCGTGGATAAGCATCTTTTATGTATGTGTAATTATAATATTACACTTTAAATTAAACATTTCCGATAATTTCACATAAAAACATAATGTATAATAGTAGAATAAACATAAATTACAAACCTTTTAACTACTGAAAATGAGTTACCCATATTTAAAAGAATCATTACTTGATGGAAAAAATTACAAAATTTATTATATTTACTAAATAAAAATGAAGACACTGGAAAATTGACATATATAACAGAAGGCCATTCCTAATTATTCATACATTTTCTAATTTTTTTTCTGGTTTAGGGTGTGGAACGACCTCTATAATGAGTTGTCACGTGAACCCTTTTCCATTAGCCAGTTATATTTAAATAAATACTTGTTAATTTAAAATTAATATTTATTTCTGTACTTCAGGAAAGTGTCTCGTCTACTTCACGTTTCTTATTTTACAAACATTTGGTGGCAGCTCAGGTATGTTTAGCTTAATTAAAGATAATTCGCAAGGCTTGTCTTTGGGTGAACTTCGCTGGCTTTTCAAGATCAGAGGTTATCTTTTATATCTGAATGGTGCCCTCTTTCGGACTCTGGAACATGAACGGAGTCCTCCATATAATCAGGTGTTAAGGAGGACATGGTTCATTTTTTGGCTGAATGCACCATTTTGTCAGAGATCCGCCATTCACACTTGAATTATTCTGTATTTTTAAAAGACCAGCCTAATTTTCTATTTAAATGTAAGTTTAAGAATTTAATTAAATATGTTCGACAGGCCTGGCACTACCGGCACGAATTAGTGGTGGAATTCAATTTCAAATGAATCTTTGTTTTTCTTTTATCTTCATTGTTTTCTTTATTTTTTCTTTATTAAGTAGTAGTTCTTACTTTTCATTTAATTGTAAAAAAAAAGAGGCATTATCATTTCTTTTATATTATCCAGCGACCTCCGGCAGACGGCTTTTCTTTTTCCATACTGTATAATACATTGTTTTTCTTATTTAATTGTTATGTACTATACAAATAATAAAGTATACTATTATTATTATTACTGTGTGGTGATTAGTGTGTGTGGGCACTCTCAACATGACACACAAGAATGGCACAATCACACAGAAAACAAACACTTTGAGCCCTGAAGATGATCTCAATAAAGATAAAAATGTTGGCACGATAAAGAAAATGTTTTTCTAAAATCTACTAAAAATGTTGGCACGATAAAGAAAATGTTTTTCTAAAATCTACGTCACAACAGAACGCATCTCACAACCTCCGAATAATTATTACTATTAAGTAAGTAGGTATACAGAGGGTCATTCCTAATTATTGTCATTCATTTTCTAATTTTTATATCAAACAGAGGAGCAAATTGGAATATTAATAACACCAATGTGTTCCGTCGCATTAAATGATGGTACTGAATAGACATGATCATCAATAAATCTAACTGCCAACATACCATTATATTTTGCAGTTGTTTCACTCACCAACTGTCAAATTAAGGGCAAAATCATTATCACATTTAAAATCATAACAAAAAATGATTTTTTCTTTTTGTTTCTGGGGGATGATAATCAATATGTGAAATAGCTACAAAAAAAATTGAATTGTTTCAACTTTTACAATAAATTTTTTTAAATCACAATAAATATATTTTTGCAGTGCCCATATAGCTGTAAACACTTATTGGTAGTATACTAACAATATACTAACAAGGTGTGCATTGTCCATGAATCTTGAAGGCATTCTAAGACAGCAGTGATGACAGTAAAAATATGATTGGAACTGAACCGAATAAATGCATACAGACGCATATGATGGCTTTCCACACAAGGTTATTCTTATCTAGAATGAATGTATTTAACAGCTTGAGTGGTTGAGTGAATGGGTGGGTTTATGGTGGAATACAAACCACCCCCACAAACCCACTAAAATAGGCTAATTTTTGTATCATAGTATAGCCTATTTACCATGTGTGAAGAAATTAAGGCAATGAAGAATAGTCTCAAAAGTTCCATAAAAAAATGTAAGATCGCTAAGACCAATTACTGGAGAGCCAAATTTTTGTCTTAATTAATTGGTGTAGATATAAAAGTTAATGGACGTATTAAACAAAAAATTCTTATTTGTTGTTATGTAATTTCTATGTGATAATGACTTTTCTTTATTGTTCCTGGGAATGTGCATCGACATGTGAAACTGCAAAATAAAATTGAATTCTTTCAACCTACGCATTGTTTTCAATCAGAATAAATCTATTAACAACAGGAAAATAAAACTGAGGTCTAAGTCTGATACTTTTTTTCCATAATTATTATCTATGAATGTCATGATTGGTTGGAGTAAAAACAATATACTATTGAAAATAAAAATTTGTCATTGAAACTTTGTTTAAAGAAAACAATGCCTTATTCATCTAAATCAATATACAAATTGATAAATTCTTTGAATAATCTGTAATAATAAATTTCTTTGAGCTTTATCTTAAAATAGACAGGGTGGACGAGAGTTTTTCTTTTTACAAACTCGGCATTTTTATTTATTTTAAACATTTTATTCAAAATACACCAACGGACAAATTTAATGCACCACTCAATTTATTTAGATTAAAATTAAATTCATTATCTTTCTACATTAGTTACAGGTAATTAGGATCTATCGTAGTCAAAATAAATAGTAAATAATGCTTTGGTTACTTTCTTTATTTACTTTTGTACTGATTAATCCTATCTGCACAAAAAGTAGCATTATGGGGTTCCATTCTGCTATGGCTAAAGATCGCTTTCATTCAGTTAATATTTTTCCTTCATTGATTTCATATGACATTATTCTTATTCTTAAACCTTTTTCAATGGCCCCAGTCAAGCATTTGAGTGCGTATGATAGTGTCTGGGTCATAACATTATTAGAGGAAGGATAGAGCCAGCATGAAGTCCCCAGGAGACTGAAAGTATATCACTCTACAAAAGGAAGGTTGTTCGGCGCTTCAGAGAAACAGGGTTTCACACTAGACAGGGTTGACCTAGGTCTATAGATGGGAGAGATGATAGATTCATCCGTCATCAGGCTCTACAAAACCGCAGCATTACGGGAAATGAGATGAGAAATCTGATAACACAAGTACGAAATGATTTGATTTCCACCAGGACTGTAATAAGAAGCCTTAATGAAATAACCTCAGGGCCCAGGCTCCTAGCTCGTGGATTTATCTCTTCTTACCACAGCTCAGAAAACGGACAGGCTTCAAATCGCACAGAGAAATGTGAATTGGACATTGGAAGATTGGGGATGAGTTCTCTTGAAGTGAGAGATGGCCTCAAATCTTAAGATGCGCAAAATTTCACATGGAGACCCTCAGGAGAAAGGTATACCCTATGCTGTATGGTTCTTCAGATGGCATTCCATGGCGGGTCATTGATGTTCTGCAGTGGCATTACCTTGGACGCCCACACCGAATTGGTTGTATGAGGAAGGTTTCTAACTTCAAAGGGGTAATGGTAATGAGGATACTAGGAAGCAGGGTATGTGCTCCTCAGGCATTGCAGCCTTCTGGATTAATGTACCTTCCTAGTTCCCTAGTTGAGCGCAATAGACTCAATCCTTCTTGGAAGTATCAGGTCACTGACTTCCACTGCTATAATTTCATTCCCTAGATTTTTTCTGAATGTTAGGTTAAATCTCCATTCTACTGTTGCTTCGCATTCGAAGATGATATGGGTGGCTGTTTCCTCCTTCTCATTGCCTAACCTGCAGATGGGATTATCGTTATATATGCACATGTTGTGTAAATGTTTGCTCAGATGCCACTGACTGGTTAATAGTGCTATCACTCCTCTTTGTCTAGCCCCTCCAATCGCAGCAGTGAGTTGAGCCAGTCTTAGTGAGGGTTGTTTCATCATAAGTTTACTGGGGTCTAGCGCCGTTAATGTTTATCCACTTCTCTTTTTGTTTTATTTGGATCCATTCTGCGATGGAGGATTCTATATTTGTTTTTGTTATCCCAAGTATGGGTTCAGGGCCTATGTATGGTCTTATGGATACTCCTCTGGCCAGCGTGTCTGCTTTCTCATTACCCAACATTCTTCTGTTCTCTACCACCCAAAATACCATCAGGTTGTTGTATTTTCTCAGGTTTTGGAGATTTTGATTTTTAAGTTTTTCTAGGGCACAAGCATTGATGGCATGTATTTCTGTTTGAAAGACGTAAAGTGTACTTCTGTAATAAGTTTGATTGCTCATATCTTGAGCATATAGTCAGTCCCCATTTCTAAGAATGGGTGTCTGATTTTATTAATTATGATTGTGTGCCCAAATTGTTTAGTTCCCATACAATCTGATTGTTTTTGGAGACTAAATGAGGTATGCCTATCCTCTCTTTGTATAAATGTTTCCAGTGGAGGTAGGTTTAGCAGAGTTTCTAGTGCATTTGTAAGGGATGTTCTCACCGCCCTTGTAATACATAGATTTGCTAATCTTTGTATGCTGCCTAGTGATTGAGTAGCTATTTGTTGTTGAGCTTCTGTCCACCAGATTAATGATCCCTTCACAGAGGTACTTAAAGACATATTCGAAGAACATGTAGTTCCATTTGCTCCCCAAATCTGCTAGTTAACTTTTTTTTGTTTTTTGTTTTGGGAAAGATTAAGGCTCGTTGAAAGACTGAAGTGTACTTCCCTAATGAGTTTGACTGTTCGTATCTTGGGTTTGTACAAAAAATGTCGGATCCGGTCCCTCGGTTTGTTTTAGAGCCATCTATCGTCCATCTATCATTAGCTATCGTATCGGATGGTCTCCTGAGTTCTTCCTCTCCTTTATGGTCTGTTGAGTCCTCACACTGGTGAGATATTCTTGCTAATGCAGGATGCAGGAGCACGTATTGTGGATGGTTGCCTGAATGAGGTTGGAATTGAGTGCTTGGAGTGGCAGGATGGAAGTCTGGATTTGAACCGAATCACAACTGACACCAACTTAAACAACGAGTACTATGGCAAAACCAAATCCTAATACCTTCAAAAAGTCGAAACAGCTGTTCTTAATTAATGGGAAAGAATTCCTCAGGATTTTATCAAGATTTTTTTTTTCAAGGAGTGCAAAGTCGTTTTGGGTGTTGCGTGATTCGTGCCAGAGGTGGAATTACACGATATTAAAGGGCGCAGAAATGTTTTTTTACCATTTTTTTCTTTACTCAATATTTTTTTTAGAATTAGGTAATGAACATTTTCTTTTTAAATGTCTTTTTTTTACGACCAAACCTATTTTTGGTATGCAAAATATTAATAAACCTAAATATATTAAATTTAAGGGTGGTGCGTCATCCATCAGTGTATATCGTACAGCCACAGTCTGTAAAAAGTGAACAAAAGGCCAATTTGAGCGAAGGCCTGAGCCCGGGGGGGCCGAAGTATATGCGTAATTATGTATAAATAAATGACGATATTATAAATAAAATCCGGCCAGAAAGCTTTTTTTCGAATTATATAAATATCAACTAAGGACGGAAAATGGTTTCGGAACCGAGTGACAATGTTAAAAAAAAAAGAGGCTTACCGATCGTCAAGTCGTGGACAGGCTGAAATCTCTTGTCCGTGAACTGCAAAAGTAAGCAGGATTTGCCAACACCTTTAAAACAGAAAAAAACATTAGATTGACTGTCTTAAATGGTCCTGAAGACTGGAAAAAAGGCCCGTTCTAACAAACAGATGTTTGGAAAACAAACGACGCAGATTGAACGGGGAAACGGTTTTTCACCTCTACTTAAATAAAAGGCGGACTGAAAAACATAAAAAAATCGCTTTTTCCGAATCCCGCTACGTGCTAAACAATCGAATCGTAAAATAAAATAATAATAATAACAGGCCTTGAGAAATCGCTCACCTGTATCACCGATGATGATGTATTTAAACAAATATGAATATGACATTTTGACCGTGGTTGTTTTGTCGTTCCGGAGCCGTCTTTTTATCGGAAAATCGAAAGAAATGGAAAATCTGACGCCGTATCAATTTCAACTCGTCTGGGAAAGTAGATGAAAGTTAGACTGCCGAATGACTGTAGACTGAATGTCACTTTCCTCCGACTCTAATCACAACCTAAATATCAGCCCGAATCGATTCACTTCTTGATTAATCGCCAGTGTTGCATCTCGAAATTGGAGCCTTGGAAATTTACATCCTTTGTACAAAAACAACAACAAATTATTTTTAAAAAAAATAATTAAAAATACATTTATTTTTAAAAAATTGGAACAATTATCAGTGTTCGTTGTCTTTGAAATTTGAATTTGCGGAAGGGCCGCCACGATTTGACAAAAACAAACCGACCTTGTAAATTTACGCATTTTCCTAATGCGTGTTTCTTGGTGTCCCGTTGTTTCATAATTTGTTGAAGTCGTGAGGAGCGGTCGAATGAGGTCTATAGACTTTCAGAATCTATGATTTTGAAACTTTGGAACGTTTAAAAGTTTTCTAAAGTTAAAGTAAATTAATTATTAATATATAATAAAAAATATTTTAAAAAAAGTTGAATTCTTTTGTATTGTGGATTATAAATCTATAAAAGTTATGAGATAGTATGAGAAATAAGCGTATAAAGTCGCTACTGCAATCCTGTATAATTGCGATTTTACAATATAAAATAATTGGGCTCCTTCAAGTCGATATGAACATTAATTACAATTAAAATTATAAGTTATATAATTGTATAAAATGGTTAATTGCAAGTAAAAATAAGTTTTATTTGAAATTAAAAATGGTTAATTTGAAGTTTAAAAAAAATTAACAATGACCTGCCTGCCTCGTTAGTTCGGGGGTTGGTCAGGGTTGTTTGCTCAGTCCCTTGTTATTTTCTCTTTTTCTTGACGACCTTCCGGCAACACTTGAGGGAGGTGTCAGAGTGGCGGGAACAGTTGTGAAGGTCCTGATGTACGCAGACGATGTGGTTCTTGTGGCTAAAGACCCGCTTACTCCCCAGAACAACATAAATATCCTAGAACGTTATTGTAATCTATGGAACCTCAAGGTCAATTTAAATAAATCTAAGATCATGGTGTTCAGAAAGGAGGTCGTCTTGCTGCTAATGAGAAATGGAAATATGAAGGAAACCGAATTGAAGTCGTTAACCATTACAAATATCTTGGTATTACCCTGCCCCCCCGTCAGTGACTGGGCATTTTACGGAGAGGATATCATCGGCTAAATTTGGGATAAATCGTTTGTTGGAAGGCACTCATCATTAACGGTCAAGTCCCTCCTTCCACCAGATAGAGCTTATTCAAAGCGGTTTGCCGTTCAATGTGTGCTATGGTGCCCAGTGTTTCAACGACAGGAGTTGGTGGAACAATTTCAACGTTTCTTTATAAAGAAGTCGTTTGAGCTTCCCCTCATAACACCAAATTACATGGTTTCTATTGAGACTTCAACCTCTCTGGTTCATGTTTCCATGTTAGATACTGCATCAAGACTTTGAATCTGCCTTCTCACCGCCTTTCTCGTTCTCTAGCCTTTGAGGTTACCGAGAAAAAAACATTCTGGTTCAAGCACTGGGTTAATTTGGCGGAAAAGTACTCATGCCCTTTTGATTCTAACTTCCAGGATCGGGATAAATGGTGCGCCCAGTTGATGGTTATACGTCAAATGATGGACGAATGTTACTGGGAAGAGCGTGTGCGGTCGGCTCGACAGTCCAATCGTTTTCTTTTGTATAAAGATCTGCTGTCCCTTAATTCAAGAAACACAGAACTTTTGTCCATGGAGCTGAGCTGGTTTTTTAAATTGATAGGCGAGTTGGTTTTTCTTAACTACACTCCGTGGCGAGAAAGCGAGTTATCCCTCTGTACTCTTTGTAACCTCAGACAAAGGGAGGATGGGATTTCTTGGGTATACGTTCCATCCTCCCAGAATTTAGATATCCCCATACAGGTCACAGCAAGCTCAGCAGAACCCAGATAATCGAATTCCTTAATGGCAGGGACAATTTGCAATTGATCAGATTGGCACGACAGGCTTGATCGTATCGTCATGATCTAATTAGGGAATTCAATTATGATCAATAGTCCTTTTCCTTTTTAAATTAGTATTATTGTATTATTATTTTATTTTTATTTATATATTTTTGATGGTTGTGGCTTCAACCTCCGGCAGACGGTTTTTATCCCTGCCGTTATTTTATGTTATGGCATATATTTTTGTTTTGTAAACGTTTTGTATTAATGAAGCATTGTTATTATTATTATGACCTGCCTGCCTGTAGCACTAATTGACTAAAGTAAACATTGGCTTTCTCATTCATTTTGTTGGGTGTTATATAAGGGAAAAAAACGCAATTTTAAAATTTCTTGGAAGTTTTCTGAACGTTAATACTCTTAACCTGTATGATAGTTCCCGCACATCCTGGACATCCTTTTATCCGCAGAATTCTGTTATGTTTTCGACCTGGCAAATGTTTCTGGAGATGTTTGTCTTTTATCCTGTTTCTTGTTAAAGCTTCACCCAAGGGCAGGTGACCGGTTTCATTAGTCACTTTTATTCTAAAAGACAGAGACAAGACCCATTTCCATTAGTTGGCGGTTGTCCAGACCACACCAGTGAACTAACTGTAAGATTTTGTAGATTGAATAATTTAATTCAGCCCTATTTCAAATTTACGTCTTGTGGTAACTGTGTCCAGTATAACTAGATTTATGTTTTCTAGACTTATATAGCCAAGGAAAAAACCTCCGACACACCTTCGGCCTATTTCCCCCAAAAGATCAAATTTGAATGTGTATTGCATTTCCTTTTTGTTAACCTGAACAAACCTGGGACTGAGAGACTTTTCGAATTAATTTTCTTATTTGTTTTCCTTCTTTTTTTAGGCAAAATTCCTTATATGTAAATTATCTATTCAGCTCGATCCACTTTGCCTACGGGTCGTGTCCATTTTATTCGTATGTTTATGATGTGTTATTTTCGTTGAATTGCTAGTCGGCTATTTATCGTAAATGCTCCACGTCATACGGCCGTAGAGATAGCGACCATATCGCAGAGAGGAGTTTTACATTTACAGGATGTTGTGCCGCCTCGATGCTTGGGTTACACGCTCGATAAGTGTCAGAAATTTATTGCCCTATCTGTTCCTTCCTGATTCGGCCAATTATCAATTTCTTATTTTAGCAAATATATCATTACATTTTGTATAAGAGGCATTTCCAATAAGATAACTGGGCATTTGGTGGAATTGGACAGGAATCGACCCTTATTCCATCCCTTGATCATCATCTACAACATCTTATAACAGTTTTCCAAGAAGAAGAATTCCGGAGGACATCGGATGCAATCATATGGCATACAGATGGATCGCTTTAAAACAAATGAAGCAAACGGATCAGGCATTTCTTTACAAGCCGTATGAGCAATCGAACTCATTAGGGAAGTCTTTTAACCTGAGATGCCATCAATGCCTGTGTATTAGAAAATCTTTAATGAGGTTACACTCACAAAAAATCCTAACAAGATCGCACAGACAAGCTACTAAAGCATAAAAAAAATCACAACAAAATTAGACAGCAAATACATCCAACATCATCAAAACCTGAGGATAAACAACATACTGATGATTGGGTATCACGATACAGGGACACAAGAGCATTTTGGGTAAAGAAAAGGCAGACACATTGGCCAGAGGAAGATCATATATAGTCCTGAACCTATTCATAACAAAAACAAACATAGAGTCCTTCATCACAGAATGAATCCAAAAAAGACAATGGGATAAGTGGATAAAATCTAGCGGTGCTAGACTCAGTAAATACACAGTAACATGGGTAATTTCACCGATGACCCTATTTGTTGGTTATGTAACGAGGAGGAAGAAACAGCCACCCACATAATCTTCGCATGTTAAACAACCGCAACAATTAATTTCGAATCGATTGGCTGGAAAGAACAATAAGCCAGAAGGCTGTACTGATGCAGTGCTTGGGGAAGTCCCACTTTCTAGAATCCATCATTGTCACCATCGCCATGTATCCTTTAATACCTCTTAGTATTTGAAATAAAAATAAGAAGTAAAACTGGTGAAAAATAAATTGGCTCGCTTCTTTCGTCAATGGTAACGCGAATCCAGAGCCGTTTGGTGAAAACATCAAACGTACGTTTGGGTATCAGAGCATGCAAGAAAAGAGGGCCGAAAAGTGTCCAAGGAAGTTCGTTCAGAACACCTATCGGCCCTGAACCCTTTTGCAGCATACCATGCCGTCAAAAACGAAGATCCATCCAAAAACAAGACTTCGTTTCAATTTGAATGTATTTCAGAACAGAGGCGTGCGAAAAGGTTCATTAAGGGACCATCGCAGGAACAGAGGCATATAAACTCGGAGCAGCAGAAACAAGCCTGTACAGGTATTGCAAGGAAGAAGAAGAAAATGGAACATGTCTGTCCTCTGTTGATACGATGACTGCAGGCTGAGATTCGAACTCCTGGGAGAGGAAAAGCTAAGGGTTACAGGATACTCATGGTAACCCTTAAAAAGCTTTTGGATATGTTAAAAAGCTTAATGAAGAGATCTACACAGGACCAATATTGGTCCATTTTTTATTTTTTTATTTTTTATTTAAATATAACAGCATTCAACGTACCAGGTAATAGGAAATTTGAAATTTCGAAAACCCAATGTACAATTAAAAAACAGCTAGACCTCGAATTTCACTAAATTGGGCTCAGGGGCACAATTTAACATTTTATAATGTAAGCTCCCTACGGATTTCACACCATTGTTGGGAAATGTTCTTCATCCCAAAAAATGTTTTGGGTTAGATTAGGTTAGGGATTGATTGGGTTAGTTTAGGTTATGTAGAGGTAGAGACGAGTTAGGTTAGGTAGCGTTAGGGCTTGATTACGTTAGGTAAAGTTAGGGACGTATTCGGTTAGGTTATGCAGGAAGAAAAACTATGTACTGGACCATCTGGAACGAAACAAAAGTAGAGAAATATTTTTTTGTCTAAATTTAGTTAAGCATAACTTACAACAGGAAATTTAAAATTCCGAAACACAATGTAGAATTTTAAAGAAAACTGGATTTTGTATGTGTCGAATTTCAGTAAATCTGGTTCAGGAACA